GTAAAAAGTTTGTAAATTCCTTCAAAATTAGGTAGGTAATTATATTAGGCAACTCAAAGATTACTTCTGAATTCTCTCCATACTTCTTACCAATGTGTTTAAGTCTCTGTGGAAACAAATTGAGACCTAAAGGTTAAACTTTTAAATCTTAGCTCAGCCTCCCCAGAGAAGCTTTGTTCAAATTTAGTAACTTGAACAAATGTTATCTGTCTTCCATTTGGTAGCTAAGTGGTGCTGTGGGTAAAGTACAGAGAATCAGGAAGGCTTGTGTTCAAATGTCAGCTCAAAAACAGTTACCCTGGGCAAGTCACTCAGTCTCTTGTGCTTCAGTTTCCTCATCTATAAAATAACAATAACAGCACTTAACCTCTGAGGATTCTTGTGAGGAAAAAATGAGATGGTATCTATAAACTAATTTGTAAGCCTTAAAGTACTACATAAATGCTGCTGTTATTATCATTAATACGAATCCCATCTCTTATTATAAGTTTGCTACCTTGAACAAATTATAGAATCTGTCCTCAGTTTCCTCCTCTAAAATTATAGGATTGGACCAGATGGATCTCTAAGGTTCCTTGCACTTCCAAATCAGTGGTAAAGATGACCATCATTGGTATAAAGTTCAGGATATTTTTTTTAATTTATGCCTTTTATGTTTACATCTCATTCATTGTGAGTCCATTCTTCTTTCCCCTACCCAGCACACCAAGCCTTCTAGGAGGAAGGGAAAAAAAAGCAGTGAAGCAGAGCCTTTTCAGCCAACACACAGCACAAGTGGAATTGCCATTTAGATCTTTTGACTCTTCAAGGGAAGGACTTTGTAGTTACTAATCTGTCTCAGTCTCAAGACAGGCATTCATCCCCAAGTCTTTGTCCTTGAACCTTTTCTCTTGTCTCACTGTGCCTTTTAAACAGTACTGTGGAAAGAGCGAGTAAGATGACCTCAATTCAAATCCCTGCTCTGCTTAGTACCTCTGTGACGTTTAGCAAGTCGATGAACATCTGTCTCTAAGCCTAATTTTTCTTCATTTGTGAAATGAAAGGGTTGGATGGGATGGCTTCTAAAGCCCTTTCCACCTTTAAAGCATAGATACTGTCATCAGGTGAATTGGTCTATCCTTTTCCCCTCTCTACTCATAGTCTCCATTATATCTTGTATGTTCTCTATTCCCATTCCCACCCCAAAGTACAAATACTCTTTATAACTCACTAGATGTATTTAGAATAGCCTCCCAACAGGTCTTACTTTGGTTGTGTATCATTCCTCCTCATCCCACATTTTAATCTGTGCATGTATCTAGTCGCTCTTTTGATTAGAACCCTTCAGTAGCTCCCAGTTGCTTACCAGATAAAGTTCATATGGCATGCATGGTCCTGCACTGTCTGCTTCTTTCTCATTTTTCCAGTCTTTTTTCATAGTCTCCTCCATGTTACTCCCCACTCTAGCTAGACTGGCCTAATTGCCACTCATTTCATCCCCAAATGTGTCCTGTATTCTTTTGCCTCTGTATCTTGCCATATCCTGTTTTCCAGGTTTGGAATCCTCTTTCCTGAAATCTTTGTTGAAAAAATGTTGAATGATTCTGTTCAACTAGTTAACAATATTCAAATGAGGATAGAAATGAGGATTGAAACTGGATGTCAGTTTTTTTTTTTTAAAAAACAAAGTATATGTTAAATTTGACATGGTAGTAATAATTGCCATGCTTATTTGTTTCATTTTCTGAGCTGTGTATTTTTTAATATTTTATCAGTGTTTCTGCCTTTTTTTTTTTTAGCATATTACATATTACTACCCATTTTCTCTCCATTGAGTGCCTCCCTCCCCATTGGAGGTTTTCCCTTGTTAAAAGTCATCCCTCAAAAGAAATCAACACATTGCTATTGCTGCTATGTCTGAAAACTTATGTCTCATTCTGTATGGGTGGGTGGACATGTGCGTGCATACATGCACATACATAATATACCAGTAGTATACTAAGTAACTAAATAACTAAGTAACTAGTATACTAACTAAATAAATATCTTATTTAATCCTCACAGCAACCCTGAAAAGTAGGTGCTGTTCTAATACTCATTTTGTAGTTGATGCTGAGGCAGACAGAGATTAGATGACTTGTCTAGGATCTCACAGACACTAAGTGTTTGAGTCTGGATTGGAAATTAGGTCTTCCTGACTCCAGACCCTACTCTATCCACCTAGCTATCTCTCCCAGGAGGCTCTTCAGTGTGTTCAGACTTCAGGTGATCAGTATATTGTCCTCTATAAACAAGCATCTAGAGTAGCACTCAGAAGGAATCCTCAATCTCTACCTCCTCCATCATAGTGGAGAGTACTTTTAGGGAGCTTCAGTTTGATGTTTGTTAACAGAGCATCATTGGACTGGGTTATTTTTGTTGTTACACCTTCCAAGGAATTCTGAATGATCTTGATACTGTAGATAGATTGGAGCCGCCTTGTTGTAGAAGAACCTGTCTATGTTCTACCAAGTTGAATATTTTTGTCATAGTTAACAAAAAATAAACACAGTGAAGTCTCAACATCTTTTAGTCAGTTGTGAGATAATAAAGATGTAGCCCATTTTTACAAAAGCCTGCTTCTTTCCTCTTAACACCCTCATCAAGGATGCATTCATTTCGTGTAAAGATGACCCATATGAAGATTTTCCTCTCCAGGCCATAGCCCTCCCTTCTTTACCATGCCCTAGAAACCTTTTCAGGGCAGCCAGGTGGCACAATGGATAGAGTGCCAGGCCTGGAGTCAGGAAGAATTATCTTCATCAAGTTCAAATCTGGCATCATACACTTATTAACTGTGCAACCTTGGGTAAGTCACTTAACCTTGTTAAGCCTCAGTTCCTTATCTGTAAAATGAACTGGAGAAGTAAATGGCAAACCATTTCAGTATCTTTGCCAAGAAAATCCCAAATGGGGTCATGAAGAGTCAGACAAGACTGAAAAAACACTGAACTGCAAAGAAACTGATTCACCCTGGAAGCTCACTCCACTCCTGTGCTTGTCATTTTGAAAGTGCCCTTGCAGCTCTTCTCTCTATTTGGCTGGTTCCTCTCAGAACTTCATTTTAAGGAACAGGCCTAGGCCAATCATGTCTTCATTTCTCTACAGGTTGCATTTGCTACTCTCTATATATTCTGTACTATGCCTCCAGGACAGGTAATCTCTTTCCCCTCCCCCCTTTTCAGCTTAGTTTTTTCCCCCCTTTTTGGTGAGGCAGTCAGGGTTAAGTGACTTGCCCAGAATCACACAGCTAGTGTCAAGTGTCTGAGGCTGGATTTGAACTCAGGTCCTGTTGACTTCAGCTTCTTTTTATGTGTCATCTACCATTATTATGTAAACTTTTTGAAGGCAAGGATTGTCATTTTTTTTCCCTGCATGTATTTGTAGCCCCAGTACTTAACACAGTTCTTCGCACATAGTAAGTGCTTAACAAATGCTCATTGACTCTTATAGATAGAAGAGTTAGGCATATAGGTTGATAGTTGTTGATGTTCTCTTGTCACCCCTCCCTTTTTATTTGCTGTTAATAAAGTCAAGCACTTCTGTTCCTTTGATAGAACATCTTACTTTAGATACCTCGTCAATTACTGCCTCAGTGCTCTCACAATTAAAGCACCACCAGCATGAACCTCTTCTTCATGTACTTGATCTAATTTAGCTGGGGGTTTTTGTTTTGTCTTTTTCCTCTGAAAGCACCCCAGAGATTCGTGTCAGTTGTTGTCCAAGTGTGGTGGTTCCATTATCCTTAATGGTGAGACTAGCTTGTTGCAATAATTGTTACAAGTCTTTTTTGGTTTTTTTCTAGTTTGTAACCCTCTTTTCATCACTCAGTATCCTTAGAATGACATTGCTTAGTTGGGATATCTTGTCAAGCTTTCTGTAGACTACTTTTTTCCTCCACTGCTTCTCTGTACTTTGTAATTTTTCATCCTCTTTTTAAAGATGTATTTTCTTTGTAAAGTTTAAGAATTTTTCAATATTATGTAATCAAAATTATCTATTTTATCTTCTGTGATCAGCTCTATTTCTTGTTAAGTACTCCTTGTGCCAAGGTATTATCTTATGAATTATATAACCTTTTATTTTTTAGGTCACATATCTATTTGCTGCTGCTGTGGGGGGGATCAGTCTATGAGAGGTGTGGTTTTTTTTTTTTGGTGGTGGTGGTTTTTTGTTGTTGGTTTTTTTTTTTGTTTGTTTTTTTTTGAGGCAATTGAGGTTAAGTGACTTGAATTAAGAACTTTACCTCAATAGTTGTATCCAGTTACTCTTGGCACTTGTTTACCTAGTCTCTTCCATTGATCAACTTTTCTGTTTTGCTGGGGTTTTTTTAACTAACATAGTTTTGGTGGTCATTAACTTCTTGGTAGTTTTGTATTATTAATACCTTCTAAATCTGACCTTATTGTTTCCCGTTGTCATTGTGTATATATATATCTTCATTGCCTCCTACTTATTCTATTGCATTCTAACCTAAATTTCTGTAGATTTCTATTGATTGTTTTAGTTATAGTAGCCCATGTGTTGTTGGATGGTGTCCATTTTCAGGTCTGTAAAGCAGAAAAAATGTAGAACTCTGAAAAATAAAAATAAAGCTCCCTTCATTTTAGTTTTAATCCTTGGTTTCATGATTCATCTTAAAATATAAAAAACCTTAACTGTTTGAGTGGATAGTATAATAGAAAGATTAGGAGATTTTGTTCTAGTCTAAACTTTACCATTAACTAATTTGCTACTGTCCTTGCATCTATTTCCTTAAATGAGGTGGTTAAAAAGGAAGATCTGTTAATGTTTCTTCTTTAATATTCTGAGATTTTATGAAGTTACAAATATATCAAGTTCTGACATGTGTAAACATGGTATAAAATACGTAGGCAAAATCTGGATTTTAAGGGAGAATGGAATTTGTTGTTAGAATTTTAAAATATAGAACTGAAAAAAATTCTCAAACTTAATCCAGCCTTTTTTCTTTCTTTTTCCAGGTTATATTTCACACTATGTGCTGACTGTATTTACAGAAGATATTTAAAAAACAAACAAACTTTTTTTTGAAAGATTTTGATTCCAGTGGAATCTGTGCTTTAGATTTTTGTGTTGTGAATTACAATTCCTTAAGCAATGCCTGTACAGGCTCCACAATGGACGGATTTCCTCTCCTGCCCAATTTGCACTCAGACGTTCGACGAAACCATCCGAAAGCCCATCAGCCTCGGCTGTGGCCACACTGTCTGCAAGATGTGCCTGAACAAGCTTCACCGCAAGGCCTGCCCCTTCGACCAGACCACTATTAACACCGACATAGAGCTCCTGCCTGTGAACTCGGCCTTGTTGCAGTTAGTGGGTGCTCAGGTAAGACAAGCCCTGTGTGTTTAAGGAAAGTCTGATGAAAATGTTTGAACAGGCCCAAAGTATGTACTGTGCATATGCTCTCATTTGAAGGATTACTCTTTGATATTATTGGTTAAAGTATCCTAGTATTTTTAATATGCTGAGTATGTGTTTAAAAGAATTAATAAACATAATATAATAAACACAGGCAACTAGGTGGCTCGGTGGCCAGAGTGCTAGATTTGGAATCAGAAAGACCTGACTTTGAAACCTGCCTCAGGCACTTAACAACTTTGTGACCCTGGGCAAGTCACTTAACCTTGTCTGCCTCAGTTCCTTCATCTGTAAAATGGAGATAATAAAAGCACCAAACTTCCAGGTTGTTGTGAGGATAAAGTGAGATAGAGGTAAAGTACTTTATAAACATTTGAGCACTATATAAATACTGACTATTATCTTTGTAAGTATAAAAGATGAAATGCAAATATCAAGAACTATATTAAAATGACCTATATCATTTATAACAAAAAAAAATTAATTAAAATAACCGAGGTTTTACCTCACACCCATTATAATCAATAGAAATGGTAAGAAAAGGATAGGAACTGATCTGCAGAGCCTCCTAAATGGGATCCATAATCAGTCTAAGAAAGGTAGCCCACCTACACGAGAAAAAAACAAGTGGATGAAGAATACCTACTTTCCAACAATCCTGTTGAGCAGCAAAGGTGATGTTGGATGGGCTGTGGGAGGGCAGGCCCACAAGTGCACTCTTGGTAAAGCTCTTAGGTTCAACTGTTGTAGAAAACAGTGTGAATTCACAGAGAGAAAAGAAAAGCAAACACTGGATACCTTTTGACCCAGTAATATCATGACTTAGAATATACCCCCAAAGAATTCCAAGACAGGGGTAGCTAGGTGGCACAGTGGATAGAGCATTGGCCCTGAAGTCAGGAGGACCTGAGTTCAAATCCAGCCTCAGACCAAACACTTGACACTTACTAGCTGTGTGACCCTGGGCAAGTCACTTAACCCCAATTGCCTTAAAAGAAGAATTCCAAGACAGAATGAAAGTTTCTCTAAAACAAAAATATCCACAGCATAATTCTATATTAACAAAACAACAGTTGGGAATAAAGTAGATGGCGGACATAGTGGATAAATTATGCCATTGAGTAGCATATTAGTGGGCCTCAGATGGCCAGTCTGAAATTCAGAGAAGCATGGGTAGATTTGAATAAACTGACAGAATGAAATGGAACCAGGAAAAAAATTTTTTAATTAATGTAAATACAGACGTTAGTAATAGGAATCCAGTTGACTTGGGCTCTTGTTATAGCAGGTGGTTCTGTTTAGTTAGTCATTAAGGAATGACTGTTGAGGGAAATAAAATATTTTTTGGCAGTGAGCAAAGTTCAGATTAAAGCAGTGCCCCAAGGTAGTGGGCATAGAATATTTTATGTGCTCTTAGAATTGATCATTTTTTGAGTTTGTCTTGCTTAATTCTTTTTCTTGGTGACAACTGAAGGTTCAGTGAGGGGGAAGTATATAGGAAAGTACAGTGTTAGAAAAAGAAAGCAAAACAAAATGCATAAATAGAACCTTTTATAAAACATCTAAACAACTAGATTAGTAGACAGTTAATAAACTAAAATATAAATTTAAGTGCCTGCTGTGTTGCAGGCATTGTGCTAAGTTTTATAAGTATTATCTATCTCATCTGGTTTTCACACCTACCCTTGAAGGTGGGTGCTATTATTATTCTCATTTTATAGTTGAGGAAACTGAGGCAAACAGATGAAAGTGACTTGCTCAGGGTTACACAGCTGATAAGTGTCTCAGTTAGGATTTGAACTCAGATCTAACTCTAGACCTAGTGCTCTATCCACTGCACCATCTAGTTACCTTAGTAGGGATCACGGAATAGGCCTGCTTTTTCTTCTGGCTCTGAGAGTCGGGGTATTTAAGAAGAAGGCAGCCCTGGAGAAGAAGCCAAGAGATAAAGTGTCATCAGGAAAAAACCATGCAGAGAAATTGATATAAAGACAAAAGACAATCCCTGCCTTCAAGGAGCTCACAGTCTACTGCAAGATGACAGCACATTTTAAAAAGAAACTAGAAAGGAGATGGAATAGATAGGGTACCCAGTGTGGGAACATGATGAAGTCTTGAATGCTCTGATGTTCCCCATAAGTTGAGGATCTGGAAGGATCTCTCTGATGTCTACCCTCTATCTTCTCAAATCGGAAGGAGGAGCCTAGGGGCAAAGAGTGCTGCTGAAGCATGAGTTTCAGACTTAAATTGATTGTGCAGGAAATTACATTTCTGGAGATAGAGGTGAAGTCCAAATGAGTAATGATGAGGCATATTCCCTGGGTCCCCTCCTTAAACAGGGTCTAGGAGGAGCTCTCCAGTGTTCGACCTCCATCCTCTCCAAACAGTAGGAGCCAGTAGGGGTTATCATGGAGTAGCGGATTTTTATAGTTGGAAGATATTTCTGTGGCCATTTAGTTCAACCTATACCTCAAAAGGGATTCATACAATGACATAGACGACAAGTGGTCAACTAGCTTTTTTTTTTTTTAATTTTGGAGGACTTGTAATGAGAGAGAACTTAACGACCTTCCATGGTAGCCCATTCTATTTTTGGAGAGCCCTAGTTTTTAGAAAGTTTTTCCTGACATAAATCCTAAATTTGCCTATTTGCTCCTTCCTGTTCCTCCTAGTTCTGCTATCTGGGTAAAACAACATTTCTAAAACTGTTGTGTCTTCTATGACTCCATTTGATTTCTGCGAACCTTATATAGTTTGTACTGAAGGCTTTTCATTGTCCTTGCTGCCCTCCTAGAAGATCTAAAGGACAAATCATGCCAGATTTAACTCATTTCTTTATTGTTATTTGGCTTTTGTGTCTGGATTTCAGCAAGGTGACTGAATAAACTGTCTCACTATATATATATTTATGAATAAGATGAAGGGGTATTAGCTGTAAGATAACATAGTTAAGTGGTTTTAGTTGTTGAACAATTTAACTCACAGATTGTTAATCCATGAATTGATCAATGCCAGGCAGGATGGAGGTCTCTAATGGCATTCTCTAGGTCTGTGTCCCTTGCTTTAATCTGTTCAAAAAATTTTTATTTTATTTTAGTTAAGGCACTTGGGGTTAAGTGACTTGCCCAGGGTCACACGGCTAGTAAGTGTCAAGCGTTTGATCTGAGGCTGGATTTGAACTCAGGTCCTCCTGACTTCAGGGCTGGTGCTCTATCCACTGCGCCACCTAGCCGCCCCTGTTCAAAATTTTTATCAGTAATTAGGATGAAGAAACAGGTGGCATGATTTTCTAGTTTGAATAAAGCTAGCAGGAATAGTTTCTACGTAGAATAATATGGGAAAAGACTTGAACCAAAAAAGAGAGAGAGAGAGAAAGAAAGTGAAAAATAGTATGCTTTGGTCTGTATTCAAGAATCTGTCAGTTCTTTATTTGGAGGCGGACAGAGTCTTTTTGGATCATTGTATTGCTGAGAATAGCTAAGTCATAGTAGTTCGTCGTATGGTATTGCTATTCCTGTTTACATTGTTCTCCTCACTTCACTCTGTATCAGTTCAGTAAACCTTTCCAGGTTTTTCTGAAATTATACTTCCTGTCATTTCTTATAATTCAGTAATATTCCATTACAGTCACATACCACAGCTTGTTCAACCATTCCCCAGTTGATGGGCAGCCTCTCAATTTCCAGTTCTTTGCCACCATAAAAAGAGTTGCTATTTTTTGTACAAATAGGTTCTTCCCCTTCACCCTCTTTTTAAAAAATTTCTTTGGAATACCGACCTACTAGTGGTATTCCTCAGTCAAAGGGTATGCACAGTTTGATAGCTCTTTGGGCACAGTTCCAAATCGCTTTCCAGTGTGGTTGGATCTGTTCAGAACTCCAACAGTGTATTAATGTCCGTTCCAGTTTTCCCACATTCCCTTCAACATTTTTCATTTTTCTTTTTCTGTAGCTAATCTGACCTGTTGTGAGGTGGTACCTCAGAGTCATTTTAATTTGCATTTCTCTAATCAGAGTGATTTAGAGCATTTTTTCATATGACTATAGATAGCTTTGATTTCTTTGTCTGAAAACTGCCTGTTCATATCCTTTGACCATTTATTAATTGGAGAATTACTTGTATTCTTATAAATTTGACTCAGTTCTCTATATATTTGAGAAATTAGGCCTTTATCAGAGGTACTTACTGTAAAAAAATTTTTTCTAAATTTTCTGTTTTCTTCTAATTTTGGTTGCATTGGTTTTGTTTGTGCAAAACCTTTTTAATTTATTATGATGAAAATTATTCATTTTTACATTTCATGATGTTCCCTGTCTCTTGTTTGGTCCTAAATTCTTCACTTACCCATAGATCTCACAGGTGAACTATTCCACACAATTTGCTTATGGTATCACCCTGTGTCTAAATCATGTATTCATTTTGACCTTACCTTGGTACACAGTGTGAGATGTTGGTCTCTACCTAGTTACTACCATACTGTTTATCATTTTTCCCAGCAGTTTTGGTGAAATGGTGAGTTTCTATCCCAAAAGCTTGGATCTTTGAGTTTATCAAACAATAAATTACTATAATTAATTACTGTACTTTAAAACCTTAACCGTAACTTTTTGAATATGTTGAATTGGTTCTCTTATGTTCTTGAGATAATAATATGTTTTTAGGGTTTTCTTCCTATTTTAGTACTAGTATTTGTCCTTTATGGAGGTTCTGTTATTTTAGACTAATTTTTCAAGTGTAATCTTTCTAATGAAACACTAGTCATGAAAATCTTTTCATTTTTTAATGATTCTTTCCAAAGCTACTCCCTGTAGTTAGATATACCTTGTTTTTATTTCTCTTTCTATGGTAACTCTTCCTCCTCTCCAACTTGTATATCCATAAGGATAACAATTACTGTGTTTGCCTTTGTATCACAGTTACTTGACAGAATGTGTTGTAAATAAGTTAATAGCTTTAAAAAAGTTTCTTTGAAACTTTTACCTTCTCCAAATAAGCCCTCTGCTTTTCTCTGCCTGTCTTCTGGTTTACCATGTTCTTTCTTTATGAAATAACCTTTCCTTTAAATCAACTTTTTTTGTTTGTAACAAGCATTCAAGGTTCAGATCTCCTTTATGAAATTTTCTTTGATGTCTCCAGCCCTTTCTTTCTCCAAGTTCTGAACTCTTAGACCATTTTGAGTCTCTATTATTGCCTGTTGACTTGAAATGAAAGAAAAATTGGGTAATTTTATTAAGAGACAAGAAAGATGTGAAGAGTCTACGATAATCCTAACATTATTAATGTGGAAGGCCGTATGAATTATGATGCAGTAAAAAGGAGTAGCAAAATCTCAAGGAAAAATAGTGCTATACTAAAATAGAGCTATTGTATAAAAGTTTTGTTATTTGTCACATTAGAATTTCTTTGTGGGTGTAATGTTTGGACATCGAAGTGCTGTTTAGACAGTCTTATTCCATATGTGAATAGAATTTCTACAGACTTTAAACCTCTCTGGACTTTCTTCCTTATCTTTTCATATTTAGAGAGATAAATGGAAAGTGTCTTTTAGCCACTTAATACACATTGAACACTATGAAAAGTACTGGGGTTAGAAATACAAAAGTGAGACAATCCCTGCTCTCAAAGGGTATAGAGTCTAATGGGGGAGATAGAGGTGGTGGCCAGGGAATATTGCTTTTGTCTAGCAAGTCACAGGGTTGGTGAATATAACAAGGAGGCAGTTGATTGATAAATTCATTTCGGAGCTATTAGTAGTATATCCCCACTTTTAAGAAGACTGGTGATATGCTGATAGGTGTTGGTGGCACGGGAATATGTTAGGTAACCTGTCTTGTTTGATGTGCAGGTCCCTGAGCAGCAGCCCATTACTTTGTGTAGTGGGGTAGAAGATACAAAACATTATGAGGAAGCGAAGAAATGTGTAGAGGAATTAGCATTGTATTTGAAACCACTCAGCAGTGCGAGAGGTAAGTCTTCCACAGTTCATCAAATTCCTCTTATGATGAGTATTAGAAAGAATGGTAACTGTCTTCATTTTCCAAATTATTTTAGTAGAAGTCTTAAAGATAATGTTCTATTATTGACCTACCTATTTTTATAAACCTAAACCCATAGCACAACACAATTTTTAGAAAACACTAGTAACAATGAATTTTAACATTAAAGACCGTGGAGACCTTTTTTTTTTTTTTCCCCCTTCAGCCAGTGTGTTGGCTAACCCTCTAGCTTTGTATGAGGCAATCCATTACACTTTTGGATAAGTCTCATTATTTGGAAGTCTTTCTTGCTACCAAACTTGAAAGCTACTTCTCTGTAGAATCTATCCATTCTTTTTTTTTTTTTTTTTTTTTTGCACTGTGAGACCAGAACAATTCAGATTCTTCTTGGATAGTTACAGCCCTTTCAGCTAGGCGCTTGAGATAGATAGGTGACACCATATAATACATAGAATGCTAGGCCTGGAGTTTATGAGCAGATCCTTGTGAGCTGTGTGGCACCGGGCACTTAATCTCTGTTTACCTCAGCTTCCTCAACTAAAACAGGAATAATACCAGCACCTAACTCACAGGGTTGTTGTGAAGATCAAATGTGATTATATTTGTAAAGGCCCTGGAATGGTGCCTGGCACATAGTAGATGGTTAATAAATGTTTCTTTCTTTCCCTTGAAGACAGCTTTTATGTTACCCTCTTAAGTCTTTTCTGTTATGAGCTAAGCATCGCCATTCAGTCATCTAATCCTCAGTCATTTGCTGGTTTTTCTCCTTTTGTTACTTTCCAGCTACTAATTCCTTCCTGAAATGTGTCAACCAGAACTGGACACAGTATTGGCCAGGCCAGAGTAGAATAAGATTTAATGCCCTTAGTATCTCTTATTGCAACCTCCATATTATCCTTAGTATAACACTTAAGTGTTTTGTTTTGTTTCAGCTTGTATAGTATCCTAATTAAAATTCTAGGTTCTTTTTCAGACTGTCTGCTATGTAGCAATGCCTCTCTCATCTTAGAAAGTTAAATTTTTTAACCTAACTATAAGATCCTAGGCTTATTATTCTCTTTAAATTTCATGTTATTGAATTTGGCTCAGTGATCTGGCCTGTAGAAATCTTGTGTTTTGGATTGCAGTTCAGTCACCTAATGTGTGAGCCAGCTCTTCTTAACTTTATGTCATCTCTAGATTTATTAAGCTTGTGACCTATGGTGTTAAACAAAGAACTTGGTCCAAATTGATATCAAGCAGTAAGGACTACTTTTGCAGTCAGCCGTCTCTCTTATCTTGTTTCTGAGATTAAAATGTTGGACTTTGTCAAATGTTGTTGTTGTACATCTGCTGTAAGGGATTTAGAAACCCAGGGAGATTAAGTGGCTCTCCCACGAGGCAGGGGTGGTACCTTGGTCATCTGACTTCACAGTCACTGTCCATGCTGCAGTCATTCCCTGTCCAAAAAAGAAAGGAAAGAGGTTTGGTCAGGTTTGATATATTTTCTGGATGGGCTTACCAGATTCACTTTTATTGTCGTACTTTTCTGGGTGTCCAGTAATCATCCCTTTAATAATGTTTTCTAAAAGTTTGTCAGGATTTAACCTCACTAGCTTAGTTTCTTTTCCTTCCTTCCTTCCTTCCTTCCTTCCTTCCTTCCTTCCTTTCTTTCTTTCTTTCTTTCTTTCTTTCTTTCTTCCTTTCTTTCTTTCTTTTCTTCCTTCCTTCCTTCCTTCCTTCCTTCCTTTCTTCCTTTCTTCCTTTCTTCCTTTCTTCCTTTCTTTCTTGTTTTTGTAGACTCTATTGTCATCCTTTTTATTGAAAATCAGAACAGTAGTTCTTTTCTAATTCTGCAAAAATCTCTAGCTGGTTCGCTAGTCAGAGTTTTCTGGTTTTTCAAGTTTTGGCGGTATATTTCCTTTAGTCCTATACATGTAAATTAATCAAGGTCAGTGAGGTACTGCTACTTATTTTGTGTTTGACTTCCATTAGGCATTTTTGTTCTCACTTTTCTTGTTGACGTGTCATTCTCCTTTATGAAAAAAGCAGAATACGTTGAGAATGAAAGATTCTGACTCTAGGGATGTGCCCTCCCTCATGGAACACATTTACATCTGTGATCCGCAAATACCTAGCTCAGCAGTTGGCATAGAATAATCACTTAATAAATATTTGTGGAATTCATTGATCCTACTTTTTTTTTCTATAGCTTGAAAAGAACAGCTACTTTTGTCTTTGGTATTCCATGTCAGCCTTGTCATTCTGAGCTTCAGCAGCACTGCTCTTGTTAGAATCATCATCATTATCATCATTATCGTCATCATCACAGGCCTATACCTCACTTATATCTGATCTTGCTTCCATTTTCTGTACATTTTTAAATTACGATTTTTTGATGAGCTCCTGTGCAGTCTCTTTACCTTTTTTCCTCTCCCAAATATCAGGTATTTATTAAGCACTTACTATGTGCCAGAGAATGCATAAGGTGCTGAGTGTACAAAGAGAAAAGCAAAAGTGGTCCCTACATTCCTTTATTTTTATTTTTGTCACTTATTAGTTGCCTAGAACCCTGAGAAATGAAGTGATAAGTCCACAGTTACCTAGGTTATGTGTCACAGGTAGGCATTGAGCCCCAGGTCTTCCTGGATCTGAGGCTGGCCCTCTATCCAGTGCTGTATACATTGTTACTTCTGCAGTGAGAATAAACCATAAAAGCCAAAGTGTTTACATTAAAAAAAAAAAAGAAAGAAAAGAAAAGGAAAACGACAGTCTTTTATCCCCTTTGTGTGGGCGTGCCATTAAGTCTTGCTGTTATTTTGTATGTAGTGGCAGTCATTGCATTTGTTTTGATTCTGCTCTCCTTGTTCTATACCATTCACAAGTCTTTGCAGGTTTGTTTTTTTTAATTGATCAGATTTATTATCTCTAAAAGGTATTATTGTTTATTACTTTACACTATTTCACAATTTATTCAGCCGCTTCCTAATCCGTGGACTTTGGGGTTATTGCAAAATGATCGGGGAATGGCTAAACTGAACCGTAAGAAAAGATGAATGTGAAGAATGCAAGGAAATTTGGGAAGACTGATAACTGACAGTTATAGGCAGTATTCCACAGTCAATACCCAATGCATGGGTATTGAGGAACATTTTCTTATCTCTTCTTCAGGACCAAGCTTGGCAATAATAATTACACAGGGTTATAACACATTTTGTGTGTGTATGTGTGTGTTTGTTTATTTTTTTCCATTAACAATACTATAGTCTTGTAAGTCTTTCTATATTTCTTTAAATTCTTCCTATTTTTCTTTATGGCTCAGTAATACTCCCTTATTACTATACCAAAACATTGTATTCATGTACCATAATTTACATAGCCATCCCCAAGTCAGTGGGCATCTACTGTGTTTTCAGTTATTTTTAACACGGTGTATAGTAGCAACAAAGATATTTTGCAAAAGCTCCAAGAATATTTTTATGTAATTAAGTCACTCTTTCTATAACATCCTTAGGATACAGGTGGGTTCTTTTTTTTTTTATTCCAAACTTATCTACCAATAAAATGGGTGTTTTCATATACCTACATGAAATTGTGAGTCTCTATTATGTATATAGTATTATATGCACACTATATGCATAGTAAATTAAACACTTAAATTTCAAATCCAGTCTACTTGTCTATAAATTATTCTGGCCTTCTGTTCTCTCGTTTTTATTTTGTGGGGTTTTTTTTGTTTTTTTGTTTTTTTTTTTTACTGTTTGTTTTGTTTAGTTTAGTTTTTTTGCTAGGCAATGGGGTCAAGTGACTTGCCCAGGGTCACACAGCTAGTAAGTGTCCACCTAGCTGCCCCAGTCTTGTGAATTTTTAAAAAGATGCTCCAGGGACCCTCTTTCTCTTGTACCTCCTCCTCCTTCCTCCTCCTATTTTTGGGGAAAAATAGGAAAAATAAAGCTTACAAAGAGCCTTTTTAAAATAAAAGAATATAAAAACAACTTAGGTAAAACAAATTCCCGCTTTGGCCATATCCAAAAATTTATTTCTTATTTTGCATGTTGAGTCCATCATCTTTCTTTCAGTGGTTTATATAATTTAGAATTATATATATTAGAATTATCCAACTGTGTTATTGCTTAATCAAAGTTAGGATCAGTTTTGTGTTTGCTAGATTACTCTCCAATTTAAAGTTTAGACTAATTTTTATATTGTCTTTTAAAGGAGTAGGTCTGAACAGCACCACTCAGAGTGTTCTGAGCCGCCCGATGCAGAGAAAATTGGTGACGTTAGTCCACTGCCAGCTAGTGGAAGAAGAAGGTCGGATTCGTGCCATGAGGGCAGCTCGATCTTTAGGTGAACGGACTGTAACGGAACTAATCCTCCAGCACCAGAATCCTCAACAACTTTCTTCAAATCTTTGGGCAGCAGTCAGGGCCAGGGGCTGCCAGTTCCTTGGGCCAGGTAAATGATGTAGAGAGATATTATGTAGATATCATTTATCTTTACTAGTTCTTAAAATCTTGTCTAGAAGTTCCAGAGATAGATAAATTTCCAGAGGCTCTTATTTTAATGTTTTACAGAGAGAGTTATTCAACCCATTTGAATTTTGCAAAAAACTGGAGTTTAACCCTACCAAATACTAAAACTTTTCTCAAATTTTTTATTCAACTTGGATGGATTTTATTTGCTGTTAGGTACTTCTTTGTTTTCTTAAAATTTACCGAATATTGCCATGATTTAATCTTTCTTCAGTTACTCAGTAACATTTACTGTACTGTGTTATAATACTGAAGGTACGTAGGTATTTAAAGCTGTTTGTCTCTGTAAGCAGACTCCACATTGCTGTGGAAATACAGTTCTTTTGATACCTCTCAGTACTTCTCACTACTCTTGCTTATCTACTGTCTTTTCAGAATATCCATTTGTCTTTGTATCACCCCAGTGGCTTCTCCTCTTCGTAGAAACAGAATGCTTTAGCTTTTCTGAGAGGTATTTACTGTTCAGAACAGCAGCAGCAGCAGTTTTTTTCTGAGTTACTTACTAGTTGTACTTAATTGTTCAAAATATATGTGGAGTGTCATTTAAAATCTGTAATTAAGGGTGCTGGTAGAAATATCAACAATCTCAGATATGTAGATGATACCACTCTGATGGCAGAAAGTGAAGAAGAATTAAGAAGCTTCTTGAGGATGGTGAAAGAAGACAGTGAAAAGACTGGCTTGAAACTTAACATAATTTAAAAAAAACAAAAAAGAACAAAACTAAGATCATGGCATCTTGTCCCATCACTTCCTGCAGTTAGAAGGAGAAGAAATAGAAAGTGTCAGATTTTATATTCTTGGGCTCAAAGATCACTGCAGCTATAAAATTAAAAGACAACAGTCCTTGGAAGGAAAGCTATGGCAAATCTGGACGGCATACTAAAGAGCAGAGACCTCAATTTGCCAAGAAAAGCCTGTATAGTCAAAGCTGTGGTTTTTCTAGTAGTAATGTATGACTGTGAGAGGTAGATTATAAGGAAAGCTGAGCGCTGCAGAATCCATGCTTTCAAATTGTAGTGCTGGAGAAGACCATTGAGAGTTCCTGGGATAGCAAGGAGATCAAATCAATCAGTACTTAAATGAATTAACTCTGACTATTCATTGGAAGGACAAATAATGAAGCAGAAGCTTAAATACTTTGACCACATAATGAAAAGATGGGACTTTTTGGAAAAGACTGTGATACTGGGAAAGATTGAAGGCAAAAGGAGAGGGGGCCAGCAGAGGATGAGGTAGATAAATAGTGTCATGAAAGCAATGAACATGAACTTGGACAGACTTTGGGACAGAGTGGAGGACAGATGGGCCTGACTTGCTATGGTCCCTGGGATCACAAAGAGTCAGACACAACTGAGTGACTGAACAACAACAATTTAACAGCATGTTAAATTTAGGTGTGAATGAATTTTGTTTTAAATTTTCCCTTGAGAAAGATGGAGTCTTTAACATAATCCAAAGGCTCCATGGACAGCACCACTACTGTCACTACCACCCTATGTAACTCTAAGATGGAGAATTACTATACCGGTTGTCTTTGTTAGTGAAGTTTTGGTGAAAGACTGACTACAAAGAGGAGAAAAGTCTTTGGGCTTTGTTTGCTTAGCTATCCATACAGCTCGTTTCCTTGTCACCAACAAAACATTTGATTGATAAGTAATTAAAAATAAGATGATAATCTCTTTTCTTTCTTTTTCTTTCTTTCTTTTTTTTTTTTTTGTCTAGGCAGTGGGGTTAAGTGACTTGTCCAGAGTCACACAACTAGTAAGTGACAAGTATCTGAGGCTGGATTTGAACTCAGGTCCTCCAAGGCCAGTGCTCTATCCGCTGTGCCACCTAGCTGCCCCAATCTCTTTTCTTATCAAAAATTCTTTTTGAGTAGCTACTGGACCATGAAGGCAAAAAAAAAAAAAGAGTAATTTGTGTCTTTTATTTTAGGCAACCTCTGGGTTGCAAATTAATTAGGTTGGTTGGAGAAGTTATTTTAATTTCATTTTCTGCAGTGCAAATTCCAGAAAACATAGCTGTTATTATGATACAGCAAGATAGGAACCCTGAGGTAATGAGAGTATGTGAACTTAGCCCTGAGAAGCAGTTGCCTAGACAAGAACATGGAACTAGGTGATTGCTACTAAACCTGGTCCAGAAAAGTAGAAATGAAAGTTGCAAGTACAACATAAAATTCAACATGGCTGCATAGGGTGGAATTGGATTAGGCATGTACTAATTTGTTTTTTCTTTTTCCTTTGATCATAGTTCTGTCACTGTTTGTCCCATCTTAATTTTAGTGAGAATGCCAGATATGATTCTGTAAAGGTGATGATTGTGTGAATAAATCTGCCATGCCCCACCGCTGTTGCTGGTCTTTGTGTTCTTTTTTGTTTCCTCTGGTTTATTTATAGACAGAAGAATTAAATTTTTCTGGTAAGGAGTTTTGTTAATGTCTAATGTCCTTTTCTGATCTTAAGATCTTGGGACTTCCTGTCTTGTGAAGAACCTTGTCCAAATAGAGAGGGAATGTGATAGCTGTCCTCAGCGTCAAACCTCAGAGCCTGCAAGAATTTTCCTATGACAACAGAGAATAAATTTGATTTTTACCTGACTTCCCAGCAATGCAGGAGGAAGCCCTGAAGCTGGTCCTGCTGGCCTTAGAAGATGGATCTGCTTTGTCTCGGAAAGTCTTGGTTCTATTTGTGGTGCAAAGATTGGAGCCACGATTTCCTCAGGCCTCAAAAACCAGCATTGGACATGTTGTTCAGCTATTGTACAGAGCCTCCTGTTTCAAGGTACAGAACTGCTATAGATTGGGTGCCGAGTTTTAAGAAACGTTTTCTTCCTGCCTGTGGAAATGTTAAATGAATCAAAACTGCCTGAATGATCTTTGAAAGTCTTCACTGTTTGTTTGATTATAGGGCAGTATGTTAAATATTGCTCAAAATTGACCAAAATGGGCCTTACAATTTTTTGCTATATAGAAGTTTCTATCTTGGAGATACTTGTTAAAATGGGATTTATCCTGATAGAAAAGAAACACTTGTTTTTCATATTATCTATTACAGTTCTACATTTACTTTTATCTATTTAAAAGTGTTCTTTGCATATGAAATTGCAAAACAGAAGATTTGTTTAATACAGGAGGTGCTGGAATTTGGGATTTGTGTTTGAGATGTCAGAGCTTTGACATCTAATTCAGTTGGTAAAGAGGATATTACAGTTTTAAGATTTGAAATGAATTAATATGATCAATTTATTAAGAAATAAAAATGTCAACATGAGTTTTCTTTTAAAACAAAATCAAGTGATATAGCACTTTGCCAATCTTAAAAATGCTTTATAAATGCTTGATTTTTCATTTAACAAGCATTTGTTTTATCCTGCTTCTACTCAAAAAAAAAAAAGATGAAAAACAAAAACAAAGCCTTTGTAACAAATAATAATGACAATTCTCTTGCCTTCACATTACTAACCCACCTTCAAATAGTGTTTCCTTGGCACCGATAAATTCCTTTGGCTATATTTATTCATTCTTCCTGTTGTAAATTTTTATGAAACCATGGCATTTGAAAATATAAATTTCTTGAAGGCAGAAAGATGAATTTAATGTGTATGTTTTGTAGTATGGTGGTCATAAGCAGAATTTTGGTTTTTACATATGTTTGTGCATATGTGTTTATAACCATAATTCAGCTTTGATTTTTGTCTCATTCTGTGTGATTTTGTGTGTGTGTGTGTGTGTGTGTGTGTGTGTGTGTGTGTGTGTGTGTGTGTGTGTGTGTGGTGTTGTTGTATGTCTCTTCTCAGGTGACAAAACGTGATGAGGATTCCTCCTTAATGCAATTGAAGGAGGAGTTTAGGACATATGAAGCTCTTCGTCGGGAACATGACTCCCAGATAGTTCAGATTGCAATGGAGGCAGGCTTGCGCATTGCCCCAGACCAATGGTCTTCTCTTCTTTATGGAGACCAATCACACAAATCTCACATGCAGTCCATTATTGACAAGGTAAAGTCTCTTTTTGTTCCTTATTATTTCTTTCTTTTTTTTTTTTGGTTCCTTATTTCTGATTTGTCTTTAAACTTTCAGTACTTGGAAAGCAAACAACTCACATTTTGTACAGCTAAGTTTCATTTTCTAATGGTTCTCTAAGGTAAACATTTAGTTTTATGGACAGAAAATTTGATCAATGTCAGTGTTTGTTCCTTAGGGTCCATTGTCTACTGAGCTCACTTTGTTTTAATCTCTCTTTTACTTTTTAAGTTTAATTATTCAGTTATCCAAACATATTAAATAACTATAGACTGTAACCATAGGTACAATTACTAACCCTAGAGATTTAGTAAAAAACCTAATCTGAAGGAGCTCTGTAATTGGCATATGGACATAACTACTTCTTTCAAATTATTCTCCCTGGATCCCCCTAACAACTCTAACAAAGATGTCCCAGTTCTGGAGTTATTTTCTTGGTGCATCAAGTAAACTCTTATGGAACCTGTGAAACCCAGAAAAGAGGCTTTTGTTGTTTTGCTTTCTGGTTTTATAATTAACTTTTAAATCTAAATAGACAATCTATCAGATGTGGATTTGTTTCTGGCTGTTATTTATTATCTCTTGGGTTTTAGGCAGAGAGACCTTTTCACATTAATTGAAGAAAGAAAAGGTCACTTTTGTATTAGTGAGTAAAGTGGTCATTCTTACATATGCTGTGAGACTTTGAGGGTTATAATTTGTTCTTATCACTTATTTCTTCATTGAGATTCTTTTATGATTAAGAAGATTTGAATTATGATTGCTTGATGCTGTTAAATAAGAAGATCCTGTCACTTTCTCAAGATCAAATCTTTTCTCTAATAACAGTAGAGTGTGTCACCACTTTAAAGGAAGAAGTGGTATAAATCTCCTTTTAGTCTCCACGCATGCGTGTGGATAGTGATATAGTGATTGGATGATTAAAAACAAAAACATTCAAATACAGATTTTAAAATGTATGCAATTATAAACTTGTATTACAGTTTGAAAAATTGTATGTTAACTTTAATTAAGATCATGCTCATTTGTGCCCTCTTAGAACTACCTTTTCTTATGTGTATTTTTCTGAATTTTGTCATTTTCTTCTATATCATTTCTGTCATTTTTCCTTTGTGTGAATTGTTTTCTCTTGATTCTGAACTATACTTCACATAGGTCTTATTACATGTCTTCATATTTCTTTATATTAATATGTCACAATTTTTTTTTATCTGAACACAGTCTTCCAGTAATTTGCTAATAATACTAATAATGTGGCTATTTGATATTTTTATAGAGTTCTTTTTTCTTTAAAAAAAATCCTTATAGTCTAGTCCTAGTAGTGAGATCTAGTGGATCAGAAAGGGTGAAGGTAGTTCTGAAGCACACATACATATGCCTGCTCAATAAACTCAGGTGGCTTCTTGTTAACTGTAGGATAAAATGTAAACTCTTGTTTGGCATTTAAAGTATATCCACCAAACTCTTTTCAAACCTTATCAGATATTATTTCCCTAAATTTACTGTATAGTTCAGCCAAACTGGCCTTGTTCTTCTCTGCACCTTTGTAGAGGCTACCCCCATGCTTAGAAGGAGAAGGCCTTCTAAAATCTCTGCTTTCTTTCAAAGGGCATTTCAAACACCACTCTCACATAAGCTGCTAGTTCCTTCTAAATTACTTGTATTTTATATTATAGATATTTTGTATATATGCATAGGAAGCTTGCTGAAGGCAGAACTTGTTCCACTTTTTTCCTTTTATGTCCCCAGTGCCCAGCACATAGTAGGTGTTTAATAATTTTTTTTTGTTCATTTCTTACTGCATAATGCCATATTGCTTTTCCATACAGATTGCCATCAGTTCACAACTCCTCCAATAACATGACATGCCTATTTCTCTACAGCCCAACCAGTGTTGAATTTAAAAAATTTTAACTATCTGCCAGTTACATGGATATGTAATATGTCTCCAAAGTTGTTTTTTACTATTTTTATTTATTTTTTTTTAGGCAATTGGGGTTAAGTGACTTGCCTAGGGTCACACAGCTAATAAGTGTCAAGCGTTTGATCTGAGGCCAGATTTGAACTCAGGTCCTCCTGGCTTCAGGGTTGGTGCTCTATTTACTGTGCCACCTAGCTGCCCCCTCAGAAGTTGTTTGTAATGAAGATTTCTCTAATTATTAGAGTTTAAATAATTTTTCAGGTAGTTATTGATAATTTTTCTTTTTGTGGTCTACCTGTTTATATCTTTTGACTATTTGGGGAATGGTAGACTGTATATTCAGATTAACTTCTGTTGTTACAAGGAGTTTGGTGGATTAAAATTGTGACAAAGTGAATCTTTCCCTGAGGTAAAAAATGAAATGCAGTAAGCCACAAAAATGAGTGCTAAAATATTTTCCTTTGGAAATGAGAAAGGTTGTCTGACCTCTGGGAAAGTTAATATTTATCTTTTTTTAAGTTGCAGACCCCAGCCTCATTTGCACAGAGCGTTCAGGAACTCACAATTGCTCTTCAGAGGACTGGTGACCCTGCAAACTTGAACCGCCTGCGACCCCATCTGGAACTTTTAGCTAATATTGACCCTAGTCCAGGTAAATTCTCTTGGAATTAATAATAACAAGAGCTAACCTTTATATGCTATACTGCTTGACTTGGTGTTCTCATTAGCTCCCATAGATTTAATTACCGTCTCTGTGCTGATGATTCTTTTTTTGTTTTTGTTTTTGTTAGGAAGTAGGGTTAAGTGACTTGCCCAGGGTCATACAACTAGTAAGTATTATGTGTCTGAGGCAGGATTTGAACTCAGGTCCTCCTGACTCCAAGACCAGAGCTCTATCCATTGTATGCTGATGATTCTTAAATATACATATCCTTCCTTAGCCTCTCTTCTGACCTCCAAACTGAATGAATGCTCAGTAGACATCTTTCTTTCTAAACCCTCCCCTCCTCCTGCCTTCTCTGTTAGTAAAGGGTAACACCATCTTCCAGGTCTTCCAGGCTCAACATACGTGTCATCCTTGACTCCTCACTATTCTCCCACCCTCATATCCAAGTTGTTGCCAAGGCCTTTGCAGCATCTTTCCCATATGTCACTTTCTCTCCTCTGATACAACCACCACTCTAGTGCAGGCCCTCATTGCCTCATACTTGAACTAATACAATAAACTGCTGGTCAGTTTGCCTACCTCAAGTCTCCACTCCAATCCATCCTCCATCTGCTAAAGTGATTTTTTTCAAAAGCTTCGGTCTGATTCTCCCCATACACACACACTGAGTAAATTCTATCAGAGCTTCCTTTTGCCTCTAGGATCAAATACAAAATGCTCTTTTGTTTGGCATTCAAAGTCCTTTATAACTTAGCTTCTTCCCAACTTTCCAGTCTTCTTATACCCTACTTCCCCACACATATTCTTTGATTCAATGACATTGGCCTCTTGGTTGTTCCACCATCAAGATATCTCTCAGCTCTGAGCATTCTTTTTTTGGGGGTGGGGGGGCGGCGCACTTTTCAATGCCTTTATTAGAAAGATGAAAAGTTGATTATAATTCCATACATAATTTTACAAAGTTCACACGAGGAAGGAGTATGGTAATACTATTAATATGCAAGTCTCAACCATGTAGGCAGTATAACCAGTATTTCTTAAATTAAGTGGCAGTATGACAGTTCAGGTAAACTGGCTTGCAGAAAGCAGAGTTCTGACAGTCCCTCAGGCCATACACAGAAGTAACTGCTTAATGGCACTCTGAGTTGGATTAGACTTTTGTTATTTATGGGAGCCTAGGTATAGAGCGAGACTACCTCAGAAGTCCCTTCCATATCAGCCCTCTCATTCTTCCAATCTCCACTCCAATTACTGACTTCCTTTGCTTCCTTTAAGTTCTACCTTCCACAGGGAGCCTTCCCCAATCTCTCTTAATTCCAGTGCCTTCCCTCTGTTAATTATTTGCTATTTACCCTGTATATAGCTTGCTTTGTGTATATATTTGTTTGCATATTGTCTCCTTCATTATATTGGAAGCTCCTGGAGGGCAGGGACTGTCTTTTGTCCCTTCAGCGCCTGGCACATAGTGTAGGTGCTTAAGTGTTGATTGATTAAGTGTCTAGTAGCATTGGGCTAAACTCTGAGGATAGAGACAAAAATTAAATAGTCACTGCTTTCTGTGACCTTACATTCTACTGGGGAAATAAAAAATTTTTGGCAAATTTGGGAACGGGAGAGTACTAAGATCTTAGGGAGCTTTAGAAAAAGCTTGCTATGGGAAGTGTTAACCTGAGTTGAGTGTTGAAAGAAATGAGAAATTGTAAGATGTAAAGGTGAGAAGGGAGGCCATTCTAATGGAAGAGTCATTCAGTCAATCAACAATTATTAAGCACCTAGTATTTTTCAGGCTCTCTTCTATACTCTTGAGGATACAAAAAGAAGCAGAAGTCTCTGCCCTCAAGGAGCTCACAGTTGGTTTTTTTGGTTTGTTTTTTTGTTTTTTGGGGTTTTTTTTGTTTGTTTTTAAACATTTACAGAGCCTGAGAATAGAAGGGATTTCAGATGCCATCTAGTTAAACTCATACATAAACTAGAATTCCCTCTGTGTCCCCCCTAATTTTGGGTATACTTCAAGGCTCTATCCTTAGCCATCTTCTGTTCTTTTTTCTCCACTCTCCATTGATGACTTCATCTCTCATGAGTTCAGTTATCATCTTTGTACAGAAGACTTCCAGATCTATATATTCAGCCTCTTAAATGTACAGCGTCTATATATATTTATGCTCCTGAGCTCTTCATTCTTGCATCTTCAGCAGCCCAGCCCAGAGGTTCCCGAATTTATTAGGCCTACTGCCCCCCTTTTCAAAAAAAAAAAATTACTCTGTGACCCCCTCGAAATCTACTTTCTTTAACCCTTTAACAGTTTTTTTAAAAAATTTGCATCATTTAAAAAAGTTATAAGTTTTTTTTAAATGATACCTCTTAAATTTAATAATTTATTGTGAATTTGTGGAGTTTTTCCTGCATTGAAATTTTGATGATGCAATATTGCATCATGTAACAGTATAGTATCATATTGTGAACAAGTCATAACATGCACATTTCCTGCCAACTGCATGCTGGACTTCCCAACATTGAGTGACACCTTCATCTGCCAACACTTGTTGAGGCCTGTTGGCAGACTTGACCACTGATCAGTTATACTTGTATTTTGTGTGTTTATTTGGAAAGTAATATAATCACTACGACTTTTTGTGTTACACAACAGATGAAACATGTGTGAATGGTTTTTCAAAATTTTCTTCTCTTTCCTTATGCTTCCACTTCCATTTTTATTCAGTACCTCCCAGTTGTACCTGACACTACTACCACCCCATCCCCATCATTCTAGCGCCCCCAGGGAGTGGTATTGCTCACTTTGGAAACCTCTCACTTAGTGGATATTCCAAACTGGATGTCCCGTAGTTGTTTCAGACTCAGCATGTTTAAACTCCTTATCTTTGTCCCAAAACCCACTTTTCTTAAAATTCTTTTCAAGTTACTTGGGTTCAGAACTTTGGCAGTTATCCTTGACGTCTCACTTTGCTTTGTACCAAAGGATACTTGTACCTCCACAACATCTCTCATATTTGTCAGACCATATCACTCTGTACTTGAATAAATTCTTAATGACTCCTTAATGCTTCTAAGATCAAATATAAACTTTTTCATTTGTAAGTCTAATGCCTTACTTTTTCAATCTTCTTACAAATGACTCCCCTCCCATAATTGAACCATACTAGCCTCTTAGCAGTTGGTCATGATAGATTTTTAAAAAATTTTTTTTTTATTAATTTATTTTGATTTATCAGTAATCACTTCCATATGCTTTTGTGTTTAAAATTTTTCTTCTCCCCCTTCCTCCCCACCATCCTCTCGAAGACGGCACACAATCTGATGAAGGCTATACATTTACATTCATATTAAACATATTTTCACATTAGTGATGTTGTAAGTAAAAATTAAAACCAATAGGAGGAACCATCAGAAAGAGGAAACAAAACTCAACAGAAGAGAAAAAAAATAGCAGTTCAACTTCCATAGTTCTTTCTTTGGATGTGGATAGCATTTTCCATCACAAGGCCTCTGGAGATGTCTTAGATCCTTGTATTGCCAGGAAGGGTTAAGTTTATCAACATTAGTCGTCGAACAGCGTGGCTGTTACTGTGTACAATGTTCTCTTAGTTCTGCTCACTTCACTCAGCATCAAACCATACAAGTCTTTCCAGGTTTTTCTGAAGTCAGCCTGTTCATCATTTCTTATAGCACCATAGTATTCCATCACATTCATATACCACAACTTGCTCAGCCATTCCCCAGTTGATGGGCATCCTCTCAATTTCCAGTTCTTTGCCAAAGAAGAGCTGCTATAAATATTTTTGTACATGTAGGTCCTTTTCCTGTTTGTATGATCTCTTTAGGATATAGACCTAGAAGTGCTGTTGCTGGGTCAAAGGGTATGCACATTTTTATAGCCCTTTGGGCATAGTTCCAAATTGCTCTCCAAAATGGTTGGATCATTTCACAACTCCACCATCAATGCATTAGTGTTCCAATTTTCCCACATCTTCTCCAACATTTATCATTTTCCTGTTTTGTCATGTTGGTCATTCTGGTAGATGTGATATGGTACCTCAGAGTTGTTTTGATTTGCATTTCTCTAATCAATAGTGATTTAGAGCATTTTTTCATATCACTATAGATGGCTTTAATTTCTTCATCTCAGAACTCTGTCATGATAGATTTTTCCATCTCCCCTCTCCTCCTGAAAGGACCCTTCCTCCCATCTCTCTCTCTTGAAATCTGGTCTCCTACTAGACTTAGCCTACTTATCTAATTCTTGAAGTCATTTCTTTTCTCATAACCCCTCCCCAAATTGCCTTGTATTCATCTGGTATTTGTTTTAAATATATTGCTTTGGGGCAAGGGCTGTTTGCTTTTTATCTTTAAATTTCTTGTGCCTGGCACATAGTAAGCAATAAATTGATGACTAGCTTGTAAAAACATAATACAAAAGAACTATGTTTGTGGTGTGTTATCAGCATTAAAATTCTTAATATTTCATTATTCTTAACTAGAAACCGTTTTGTTAACACTGAGTTTCCTCAGTTATAGTAACAGCACAGTAAGTTGTCTTTGTTTTAGGAATAGAGGGTAGAGGGGCAGCTAGGTAGCCCAGTAGATAGAGTCCGGCCTTGGGCTCAGGAGGACCTGAGTTCAAATGTGACCTCAGACACTTGACACTTAGTAGTTGTGTGACCCTGGGCAAGTCACTTAACCCCCATTACCTAACCAAAAAAGCAAAAAAAACAAAATGGAATAGAGGGTAGAGGTGTGATCTTATCATTGGGAACTACCTTTATTAGGACAGGTCAGCCCTTCTCTGTGATTTTGAATCTGAGACAAACTACATGTTATCTTTGTGTTTGCAGCTCTTAGCCCAGTGCCTAGCATCTAATAAGTGGGTTTTTGTTTGTTTGTTTTTGCTTTTTGGTGAGGCAATCTGGGGTTAAGTGACTTGCCCAAGGTCACACAGCTAGTAAGTGTCAAGTTTCTGAGGCTGGATTTGAACTTGGGTCCTCCTAACTACAGGACCAGTGCTCTATCCACTGTGCCACCTAGCTGCCCCATAAATGTTTAATAAATGCTTGTTCTTTCAAGGTCAATACTCTGTCCATTATTCCACACTCCTTTAATTGTTGCTTTAGCGAAGCAGAGTTAGTCTGAAGAGAAAAATGAACTCTTTCCCAAACTTAAAGCAATTAGAAATGAAAAACTTTTGAAACTCTTGGAAAATGACCAGCATAAAGGAGATTCACTGTTCCAGGGGAGTGGTTGCCAGCCTGTGTGCCAAAAATTCCTGGAGGCTTTCTATGATAATGCCCTGGGTCCATGAACCTATTTTACTGCATTAGCACCAACCACATACACATTGTGAATCAGTGTAATAAATAAACACACCTTTGGTAGGTTGTCTGAAGCCTCATAACGCTGTTGTGATGGATAAACTGCAAGTGAATTTTAAGTATTTGACCTGTTTGCTGTCGTGTGTGTGGCGGGGAGGGGGGTTGGTCTATGTAATCATTTTTTGTTAAAGTGGGTTCTTATTCTGGAAAAGATCAGGAATTGGTGCTAACATTTAATCTATTCTTTGTCCTCTTTCTAAAGCCATCCATGTTGTGTCAGTGACTCTTCGTCTGAGACTGAACTCTCTTTTCAGATTTTTACATATGTCATTGTCCTATCTAACTTGTTTATTCTAGCCTTCTTACACAGACCAGTGTGTGGCCCAGTATTTTGGTTGAGGTGCACACCACACTTAGAAGCAGCTGGGTGGGACAGTGGAGAGAGTACTGACCCTGGAGTCAGGAAGACCTGAATTCAGATCCAAATTCAGACATTTGGAAGTTGTGTCACTCTGGCAAGTCAGTCTGTCTGCTTTAGTTTCCTTAGCTGTAAAATGGGAATCATAACAGCACCTACCTCTCAGAGCTGTTGGGAGAATCAAATGAGATAATATTTGTAAAAAGCTCATTAGTACAGGGTAGGCACTTAATAAATGCTTGTTCCATGCACCCACCCATGCATACAATGAGAATCATTTAAAGTAACTGAGGTTGTTTAGAGTAGAGTAGGAAAGAGAAGATGTAAAAGCTCTTCTCATGCATGAATGGCTGGTTGTGAAAGGAGGGTTTGGGCTTGTTCTGCTTAAGCACGACAAGAAGCACTTGGCAGACATTTGAGAGGCAAGTTTCAGCTTGATTCATGGTAAGCTTTGCAGCAATTAAAGCTGTTCCATGTTTAACAACCTGCCTTGAAATTGGAAGTGTCATCCACAGGGGTTCTGTTCAGGTGTGAGTTGAATTCCCGTCTAGCTGATAAATCTATGATTCTATAAAATACAACATTTAACTTATTTACATGGAATTTTTTTTTATTAACCAGATTTCTTTTCCTGCTAAATGACAAAGCCTTTTCTGTATATGGTTATCCAAGTTCACCAAAGAAATGAATTTCTTATTTTCATTGAAAAAGAACAAAAGATTTTACTTTAGGGTTCCTTTAAATAGCGTCTCTTTGGGCAGATATGTTGGGAAATGTGGGTGATGTAAGAAGATAACTAGTTAAATGCATTTTTTTATGTAAAAAAGCATTTCTTGTAAGAAGTTTTTAAAAATAGAGCAATTTGATTCACAAAGTACTTCTAACAATACTGTAACTGCAGGGGATACCAGGATACTTGTTTTTATTGTAAAAGCTCTGCATTTTTTCCAAGCAAATGATTTTACTAAAAATAGAAGGAAAAAAGCTTACTCCATCCACTCCATCATTCTGCATTGGATGGCAAGTTACATGATATACTGTAAGGAAAAGGCGTTATTTTTCTTGGATGCCTGAGCATCATTTTCATAGTTAAAAATAGTTTTGCCCTTTTTTATAATTCAATTTTGTTATTGTTTATGTAGCCTTGTGAAAAGTTCTTGCTCCTTTTCCTTGTATGCTACACAGATGCCCCTCCTCCATCCTGGGAACAGCTAGAAAATGGGTTGGTCGCTGTGCGCACAGTGGTACATGGACTGGTTGATTATATTCAAAATCACAGTAAGAAAGGAACAGACCAGCAACAGGTAATACAGGTATATTGTATTAAGAAGTAAAGTCACTAAAGTCACAGTCATAAGAAAGAAAAGTAGGTCAATATTTCCCAAACCTGAATCAGCAATACTTTTGAAAGAGTATCTTTTCTTGAGAGGCTGACAAAAAATAAAAATTCATTTTTTGTATGATTATCCTTGTAAACTTGGTTCATGTGGTCATCTGGAAAAATTGAAATAAAGATTGCCCTCCTGATAGCTTGTCGTAAAGGTCTGCCGTATAGAATAATATGGAGGTAAGGACTCTCACGCCTAAAATTTGAGCTTTGCTTCTTTCCCTTTAAGAAGAAAAGCAAATCTTACAGCTTTCTTGAATGCTGGAGTAGAATCCCCAAATCTGGTAATAAATAATGAAATGCATCCAATTTATTTTAGCTTTGCATCATAGAGTAATTGCACTTGTAAGTTCTATAGACTGTCTTTAATCTCCTACCTTTAAACCTCCCTCTTCTCCATAGAGAACTACTGTAATGGGGTTTTTTCACATTGGTAATTTGATGAAGCATTATCTGATAAAACTTTAATGTTCTAATTGGTGTCAAATACGCTTTAAAGTGTATATCAAATAAAGCATGTATGGTTTAAGAGAAGGTCATCATTATTGTTAAATAGTATTTATTAAGGTTTCACATTGTTCAGCATTGGATATTATAAACTAATTTAAAAACCATGCTTATAATCCTATACTACAATGGCTTCACTGCCATTAATAATCTGGGGAAAAATTTTGGGTTGCACAGATTGAGGTCATACATCGAAAAAATATTGCTGTGTTTTGATACTAAAGTGTAAGGAAAGCATGACACTATTTATTGTTTTCTGTTGCTTCAAAGACAGAAATTCTTCTTAAAGCCCTTTAAACTGTGTACAGTAACTGTAGGATCATCTGTTTAAATGCTTCACTGATTAATTGATTTATTTTTGCTCCTTAGCCTCCTCAGCACAGCAAGTATAAAACTTACATGTGCCGAGACATGAAACAGAGAGGAGGGTGCCCCCGGGGAGCTAGCTGCACGTTTGCACACTCACAGGATGAATTGGAAAAGTAGGTATCCATCTTGTAGAAATTATTTCAGACTTTTGTTGTATCCCTGTTATAACAGCGTAAGAGTTTCTTTGGAAGCCTTGCTTGCCTTTGAAACTCAGAAAGTTAGCAGAGGCTACAATAATAAATTATACCAATGCAATTTTTTATGTTCATATAATACCTTAAAAGAATCCTGCTAAATATTAAGAGCAACAAAATAGCAACCAAATTGGGGGAGGGTGTTGTTAGGGAGAGCTAAGAAAGGGGCAACTTTGTATTTATGTATCTCTCTTGTTTTGTTTTTTTGTTTGTTTTGTTTTTTTGGCTAGGCATTGGGATTAAGTGACTTGCCCAGGGTCACACAGCTAGTAAGTGTTAAGTGTCTGAGTCCGGATTTGGATTCAGGGCCAGTGCTCTATCCACTGTGCCACCTAGCTGGCCCGTGTATCTGTCTTAAATGAGTAATTCTAACCCTCAAAATAGTGACACTATCTTGGAAAACAGCTGTATTATACCTGAAAAATGAGGGCTTTCTCTCCTCACAGGCTAAATGAAAGAATAGACTTTAGATAAAAATAGCAAGTATTCACAAATGGAAACCATTTGGGATAATTACATGTTATTTGTGTGTAAGTTTATTTCTAAATTTAAATGTGTATCAAAAGAATCCCTGTTTTAAAACAAACTTCCCTTCATGGTTGGATGAAGGGTGCTATAGTATGGGAATTAAATTTTTAACTACAGTAAAGTGTAGACCCTTTAATCTCACATCTAGTTTTTTTTCTGGCATGCTGTAACAAAAAGGAATTTCCTTCTTTTTTTCCCCATGTGTATATCTCATTTCATAAGTCTCTGTAAATTAACCCATTGTGTTTTCTTATTACCATTGGAGCATTCCTTATTTAACAGTAACAAAAAAAAAAAAGCTAATCTTAAGTACATAGGTGTCATAATTCCCATTATTGTAACAGTTATATTTTACTGCTTCCAATTAGTCAAACTTGATCATTATTGAGTTGATTGGTAATATTTTGTGACTTTATGATAGTTTTCCTCAGAGAATTTAATAAAAGTGAGTTCCTGGTTCAGTCATTGAACTACAATAGAGCAAAAGTGTTATTTCACACTCTAGGTTTTGTTTTCCTTTTTTCCCTTCCATTCCTCCAACATATTCTGTAGGGGGTTCAACAAAATGCTTCATAATAAAAAGAATGATGTAAGAGTGATACAGTGGACTACTCATGATAAAAAAGTAGAATGCAGTGACCATATACATATTCAAAATGTTTCAGCTTTAAGGAGTTTCTTACTTTAATCAAAATGTCCCTAATGAAAAACGTTTCATTCAATCAACAAACCTTTTATTTGTTGAATAAATATGCAAGATTGAATGAAGTATGTACATATTTTTTGGCTTATTTTCCTGCTCATACATTCTTATAGATAAAAGATAATTTCTGTTAGAATTTCTTACAGTAATTTTGGGGGGGGGGGCTGGTAATCAGGTATTTGTTTTAAGAAATTTGATTGCTGGAAAATTTATAAGAATTGGAAATTTTCACTATTGTGCCTATGCAAAACTGTCCCTTTTGGTGGTTTCTTTTTTCTTTTTCTTTTCTTTTTTTTTAAATTTTAATTAAAAAATTTTTTTTGGTGTGTAATTTTGTTTTTCTGAAGATTTCGTAAAATGAACAAACGTCTGGTTCCCAGAAGACCCCTGAGTGCCTCCTTAGGCCAGCTCAATGAGGTGGGCCTACCCTCAGCAGCTATCCTTTCAGAAGAAGGGACAGTGGACCTGCCAAGCAGAAAACCTACTGCCCTGCCGAATGGAATTGTGTCAGCAGGGAACACAGTGACACAGCTGATCCCCCGAGGGACAGACTCCAGCTACGACTCTGGTCTGAAGCCAGGAAAGATTGACCACCTGAGCAGCAGCGCTCCTGGATCCCCTCCTGACCTGTACGGCTTCCTAACTATTGATTGAGGTTTTCTGTGTGTGAAACATGTGGTTAAGCAACAGTAAATATTTTCTAATCTCTTTCACTAGTTTCCTTTTTTTCTGGTGGCTTGCATTTCTATGAGCTAATGATTAAAAAAGAAACCAGGATAGGGGAAATAAGCAACTTTGTTTTTTTATTAGAGGGACAACAGAAATTATAAGCTATTTCCTAAAATATGCAAATCTACTTTGTTATATAGCTTGTTGACTCAGAGGGAACTTCTTCAGACAACTTAATGATCATTAACACTTTTCCCTTTTCCTTTTAGACTGGAACCTGGACCCAAGAACATTTCTGCCTTACCTGTGACTCCCCACCCTGTACCCCCTAGGGGACCGACAGACCTGCCTTCCATGCCGGTTACCAAACCTCTTCCCATGGTACCACGAGGTTCCCAGCTATACTCAGCACAGCAAGCAGATGTATTTTATCAGGATCCTCGAGGAGCTGCTCCACCTTTTGAGCCAGCACCTTATCCCCCAGGTAATAACACACCTTTGAATTGTGTGACCCATTTTCTATTAGAGTAGTAAAGTAGTACTTTGTTCATTATTGACATATCTTTTGTGAGATAGGTATATGACAAAATTTTTTAACAAGTTAGATAATACGATTAATAGCATGGATACAGTGAGCTATATTAAGTTGACAGAGTTGGAGTTAAAACCCAGGATAATCTACTAAGTAATATTGTGCTGTTATCTGTTATCTAGAGTGTTCGTGTAGTCACAGAAATGACAAGTCACAGCAAGAGGGTAAGGCAAATCTGCTCAATAGATAACAGGATGTTTGCTAGGTTTTTATATTTTGGACTCAGTCTTTTAGCCTAAAAAATTAATAACGTATTAGACAATGTTCTGGGCAAGTATAGCATATTTTCCCCCTCAGTCAACCAAGTATTCTAAGTTGACACTGTGTGTGTATTTCAGGAATCATAGAATCATCAGTCTAGACCTGAAAGGGACCACTGTGTTCATCTAATCCAGCTCCTTCATTTTATAGATTAGGAGACTGTTAGATGCCCTGAGGTTAAATAATTTGTCTAAGGTCATGCAGAAAACCAGAAATCTCATCCTTTTAAAGGAATCAAGAAAAATTTTCTCAAGTGATTTTTGAGATGGGTACAAGAGAATGGATAAGCTTTATAAAGGTTCCAGTTCTGGAGACAACTCCATTTGATATCAACTATCCAGGGTGCACCAGCCCTTGGTCCTCTAGCTAGAATGTTCATTCTAGCCTGCACAGTCTACTGTCAGCAGATTCTCTCAGTCACCCATCAGGCTTGATGTGCACCGGTAAAGTTCCAGGTGGGCTGGGAGTTCAACCCATCTCTTTTGGGTAGGGGAGTACATTCCCACTCAGGTCTCAGGGTAGCAGGTGTGAGTGTTCACATGAGGTAGAGGTTTGCTGCATTTGTTCTGACCTCAGCCCCCTCATTGTAGACAAGTGATGCCTGTGCTCCTGAACGCAGAATGGAGCTATGTCATTTGACAGTGCTGAAACACTAGGCAAGTCACTGGGCTTTTCTGGGACTGTTTCCTCATTTACAAAAACTGGGGGTTAAATTCCATGATCTTTGAAGCTTGTTCCATCTCTAGCTCTGGGATCCTGTGATTTCATGCTGAAAGAATGACAAGAGCAAAAACATGGAAGGGGGAAATTGTAGATCCTTTTCTGAGAGAAGTTAGTTCATTTTGGCTCTAAGGATGGGATGTGTGTAGTGCTGTTAGGGAGTTCAGGCTGAAAAATGAGGTTGTAACCTTACTGAGGAATAGCTGAAATGATCAATCAGCTGAGGAGTTTGAGCTCAATTCGTCAGTCAGTGAAAACTCATTAAAGGTCCAACCTGATCTGAACAATATTCCCCTTTACAACAAATGGCTACTAGGTCATCTAGCCTTTGCTCAGAATGTTCTGAGGCAGAACCCACTATCTCCCAAGATGGTCTCATTTACTCTTAGACAGCTCTAATTATTGGGAAGTTTCTCCTGCTTATTCCTGTCTCTGCTAAAATATAGTACTTAAACCTGAATAGAGGAGGTATTGTAGGTGTGATCTGACAGTAGAAATCACATCTTCCCAGGCCTGAACCCTGTACCTCTTTTGAATGTGGTCATTCATCACTGTGGCTTTATAGGTTGCCATTAGTACCTGTTGATTTTTATTGACTCTGCAGTCAGTCTACTGAGACCCTTAGGTCTTTTTTTTTTTTAGATGAATTTCCTTTTATTACTTGTGAAGTTTACTTTTGAAACCCATGTGTGAAATCTTTCGTTTATCCCTATTAAGTCACTTCGTAATAGATTCAGCCCAGTGTCCTAGTCAATCAAGATCTTTTTAAATTCTGACTTTATCTTTCATTGTGTCAGCTAACTAATCATTTCAGCTTTTCATGCTTGAAGGCAGAAACTAGTTCACAAGAGGAGGGGGAAGGGGTGTCTGGTTTAGTGGTAGGGCACTAAATTTGAGTTAGAAAGACTCAAATTCCAAAACCATCTTCAAAAACACATAATTGCTGTTTGACTCTGGGCAAATCACTTGACTTTCCTCTCCCTTAGATTTTTCCTTTATAAGCAATATTTGCCTCCCAGATTTGTGGTGAGTATCATAGGATGATGGATTTAGAATTGCTTAGAAACAGTTTTAGAGGGCTCCTTTATTATACAGATGACGTGCCCAAAGTCACATAGGTAGTAAATGTCAAAGGTAGGATTTGAATCCAGGTTCTTTGCCCCTAGAGTTTGTGTTTTTTTCAGTTCTTCCTATGATTTTACATCTTTGAAGAATAAAATGACAAAATGTGTATTGCTTGGCACGCCTTCAAGTACTGTGAAAGTGGCACCTGTTTTAACTGTAGTAGTTGTCACCACTGTCGTTATCATCATCATATAGAGTGCTGGGCATGGAGTAAAAGATGTGGGTTTTAATCTCTCTTCAGATACTAGCTGGGTGACCACAGATGAGTACGCTAATCAAAAATGTGTGTGACATAGTAGATAGATAGCCTGTTGTAGAATCAGAAACATCCTCCAACCCATACTGGTCATGTGGCACTTAATGCCTCAGTGGCCCAGAGAATATTAGGACTCTCAGATGCAAATCTGCATTGACAAAGGGAGTTGAATTCCCCTGTATCACTGATTTCACAGACCTGGTTCCCCTGTGTGTAAGTGTGTACAGACACATTTACACACCCTCTCACACACACACACACATGTATACAGATGGGAGTTACTGTTGTTTCAGAGATTGAATCTGTTAGATTTGGCAGTTGATTGAATGTTTGAATTGAATTGATTGAATGCAGAGACAGGAGGCCAGAGATACTTGTAGAGACTTGTAGAAGAGTGGTACTGTTAAGAAATAGGCAAGTCTGCAGTGAGAACTGAGTTAGTGAAGGAATAGAGGGTTACTATCCAGTGGGTCCATGTCCAAGTCAGATAAGACCTCCATCTACCAGAGTGTGCCTGTTTTTAAAAATATGAATTAATTTAGTTAATAAGTCTCTTAAAATGATTCTGAGGGTTTGAGGGTACTATGGAGAGAGAAGCCTAAAATGTCACTAAAGCTTAATGCCTTTGAATATAAAATGACACCTGTGGAACAGTGAAAATGGACCATCCTTAAATCAGAATAGACTACAGGTATTTTTACAGGCTACTGTTGCTAGCATTGACTACATACATCCTTTTTCTCTGCTTTTAAAATAGTAGTTTTGATGCTTTTTAGCTCCTTTTACTTCAGTGTATGTATAACTTTTTGGCTATTTGTGCGAAGAACCAATCTCATTATTGTTAAAGTAACCTATGTGGAGCTTAGAACTAGGTCATTGTTGTTGCTCTTCCATCTCTGTGCACATGTAAGGTTGGGTTACAGATCTGTGAGCCAGTGGTCGTCACATACTGTCAGCCTGTTGATTCTTTAGCACAGGACATCCTCCCTATCCCCTGGTGCTAAGATCATAATTTAATAGTGTTATACAGTGAGCCTCTGGCCTTGAAATTATTTCCAAACTTATTTGATCATATACCACTATCGATAAAAATTTTTTTGGAACACAGACCCCCCCCATATAGTTTATTCATAAACCATATATACATGCATATATATGTGTGTGCTCTATAATAATCTATTATTTTAATTATGTATAAAAAATAGAAAATAAAAAGATGGGTAAATATGAAATAAGCAGTAATTTTATTTATTAATTATATAGTAAACCTTTTTGTTTGGGCTAAAATGTGAGGCAGGAATAGGGGAGAAAGGAGCATTTTGGTAGTATCACCAGCCTGACTGTCTGGCACAGCCCATACTAAGCAAGTTAGGGGAAAGAGCAGTGGCAAATGGCCAGAGGGAGCATGCTCTGAAGCTCTGCCACTGTTTTCAAGTTTAACATTTTCTCACATTTTACTGGATTGTCTTGCTGTTGGTTTGTTTTATAATGCAAAGAGTAGATTAATGACTCTTCTCATTGGTTAAAGAGGTAAAAAAGTCCATTTCTCACTAGAAGATTTGCTTACAAATACTGTTTTTGGTGCTTGTTTTATACTATAGGGATGTATTATACTCCAACCCCGCAATGTGTCTCCCGCTTTGTCCGACCGCCACCATCTGCTCCTGAACCTGGTCCTCCATACTTGGATCATTACCCACCCTACCTCCAGGATCGTGTAGTAAACTCCCAATATGGGACTCAGCCACAACAGTACCCACCGATGTACCCACCACATTATGATGGCCGTCGTGTGTACCCTCCTCAGTCTTATGCGCGAGAGGAGATTTTCCAGGAAAGCCCTGTAGCCATTGAGATTCCACCGGCAGCTGTTTCACCTTATGTACCAGAGTCCAGAGAGAGATACCAGCAAATAGAGAGTTATTATCCAGTGGGTCCACATCCAAGTCAGATAAGACCTCCATATATCAGAGTATGCCTTTTTTAAAAATTACTATTTAATGAATTAATCTCTTAAAATGATTCTTTGACCTTTGGAATGGGTAGCTAGCACTACCACCTAGTTATCTAATCTAGCTTTTGAAATATGTGCAAAGGTTCTATTTCTCGATGACCAGGTTTTTTTTTTATCCTTTTAATAATTTGATTAATTTGTTATTTATTTATTTTCTTAATTTCTCAACTTTTATTTAAAAGATAAAAAATTTTCAACGTAATTGAAGGTTGACAGCTACCTGATAGACAATAAGAAATCTAGCCTGCTTCCCTTGAGAACTTTGACAGATTTTTTTGTTGGCTTTAAATTTTGAACATCAAATTTATTAGATCATATATTTAAAGCTGGGAGGGAACATTTAAAACAAATGTTAAAAAGTGGATGTACCAAAGCTGTTAACTATTTAAATATACATTAAATACATACAGTGGGTTTTTAAAGTCATTTCTGTATTTTTCATTTCATTTCTAGGAGCCTTACAGCAGACTACCGCCTCCCGCACAGGCCCACCCTAGTCTAGATGAGCTACATCGACGACGGAAGGAAATCATGGCCCAACTAGAAGAGAGAAAAGTGATCTCGCCACCTCCTTTTGCACCTTCACCAACCTTGCCCCACTCCTTCCATCCAGAGGAAGTAAGCATTGTAGTCTTAAATCTTCAGTGTCTGTTTATTTGAAAGCAAATTGACAGTATTCATTCAGCAGTTTTTCAGTTGCAATCAAAATGCCTAATATTTTGATTTGTCTTATGTTAAAATTAAAATAAATATAATGATTCAGATAAATTACCAGTAATGAGCAAGATGAAGTTAGAGTTGGCCCACTTAGGGAAGAAAAGTAACTATATCCAGCTCTCTGTTTGGATCAATGAGGAATGACTTACCTATAGTTTTCCAAATGTATAGATTATACAAATTAATCAGTAAAGTCAAAATATTTTATATTTTTTTTCTTATTTAAATTCACATGATAACAGTTTTTTCCCCTTAGTAACGGCAACAATTGAAAATAAGTGGGAATACTGCTATATAATACCCTTCTACAAAATTCATTATAAGGCTGATCTTCTGTTCTTGCCTCTCTCCTGAAGTGGGTTATATACTGAACTGAGGAGCACTCCATCCTAGGGCTCTGCTACCTGTTAACCAGCCCCTCTACTACTTACTGATCATAAGATTAGCATGTGTCTGCACAGGTCAGTGATTATAATTTTAGTTCAGTATTACATTTTATAGCCTTAGTTATCTGAAAGTCAGCCTCACACATCCAGGACAGCCTTGAATCAAGGGGTTTTTTTTTTTGTTTGTTTGTTTTGGAAAAAAAAATCAACATATATATGAAAAAAGGAGGAATAAAACCCCAGCCTCAACATCCCCTCAGCTTCTGGAGGTATTAAAAGCAAAAAGAGCAAAGGACCCTCGATGATGGTGAGATGCCACCAATATTGGTGAGTCCTCAGAAGTAGGAAGGATCAATGTAGGAGAAACAGTGTAATCTGAGAGCAGTAGATAGCCTTTATGATATGCCTACTGGGTACACACCACTGCACACAGGATCCAGAGAGAAGAGCCAATGAGGGGAGGCAGGCGACAACATCTGTTAGAGATTTCAGCTGTGGGTCAATTGGAAGTACTCCGTGCTCTTTAGATTGCAGTGGCCAGACAGATGGAAATGCATCTTTCAATTGGTGAAAGCCCTATCCTATGTGACAGCATATGACATATGTATATGTGTATCTTGGCACTAAACTTTCTTTTCTAGCTTTTTAGTAGTTGATGAGGCCCTAGTGTCTTAGATGCCCTCCTGTTTCTACCTCTCTCCCCAGGGAATACATTTTCCATTCCAGACTTTACTTTGGTAACCTAGCTCCAGGCACTTACTCAGAGCCCCTTACCCAGAGCTGTCCCACAGAAATTTTGCTGATATTCCTTCAGTATAAATCTTAACATTGATGACCAAGCTATCAATTATAGTGTCTGAGTACATTGAAAGAGACCATATAGTATTTTAAAAAGAAACAATTTTATTTACTATAGCCCCATCATTTTATAGATGAGGACATTGAGGTCCAAGAAAATAACTTCCTTATCTGAGGTAACTTGTCTGAAATCACACAGTGAGTTACAAACAGAGCTGGACAAGAACCCAGGTCTTTTTTTTTTTTTTTAACTACCTCACACAGCTCTTTGGATGGCCTTTCTTGGCTTTAGCTAAATGAAAAATCTAGAAGGAAACAATTTTTTCCCTATACTTTGCCTCTACTTGTCATATCCCTCACTTCTAATATCCCACTACCTTCTAACTACACTACTTGGCTGAAACTACTTTCTTCAAGGTCCCTAATATTGCATTAATTATTACATTCCATGGCCCTTTCTCAGTCCTTGACCTTCTTGACTTCCCAAGAGCATTGACCTTTCCTTCTTCCTGAACGCTTTCTCCTTTCTGGGTTTTCATGACAAGTCTATCTCCTGGTCAAGTCAGGCATTTATTAAGTACCTACTATATGCCAGGCACAGTGGTAAGGACTGAAGAAACAAAGAGAGGCTAAAACAGTTGCTGCTCTCAAAGACCTCACAGTCTAATGGAGAAGACAACATGCAAACCATATATAGGATACATTTGAGATAATCAACATAGAAAAGGCATCAGGAATAAGGGATAATGGGAAAGGCTTCTTCTATATCTGATGGAAGCCAGGAGATGAGATAAAGAGGTAGAGAATCCCAGGCATGGAGGAGAGCCAGTGAACGTGCCCAGAGTTCTGAAATGGAGTCTTAGGGGAGGAAAAGGAAGGAAGCCACTGTCACTGGATCACAGGATGTATGGAGGAGGAGAAGAGTTGGGTGGCTTTTCATTCTTCTCAGTCCCCTTTACAGGCTTCTCATCCATATTTGCCCTCTGTGCCTTGGGTATCCCAGAGTTCTGCCCTAGGGGCCCTCTATTCTCTGTACTCTCTCCTGCTGATGTCATTGGTTCTTCTAGTTTTAATTCTCAGATCTATACAGATGACTGGCAGTTCATCTCTTCATCCCTTTCAACTTCATTCAATTCAGCTTCATCTCTTTGAATTCCATGTCCCTGCTAGACAGCTTCACCTGGAGGTTTCATGGGTATTTCACATTCAACATGTTCAAAATGGAACTCGCTGATCTTTCCCCCTTAAACCACCTGTAATCTCCAACCTGACCCTCCCTTTCCTGAGAGCACTCTCATTGTTCCAATTGGAATCATCTCTGACCCTTTACTCTTCTCTCCCCTTCCCTATCTAATCATGGCCAAGTCTTCTCACTTTTGACTCCGTAACATCTATTTATTCCTCTGTCTTCACATGGCTACCTCTCTAGTTCATACTCTTGTCACTTTTGATTGTCCTCCTCTCTCCAGTCCCTTCTGTGTACCAGTGGTGAAGTAGGAACATCCTTGCCAACAACACATTGACTTAGGAAAGCATAGATTAGCAGTATCTGTGTTGAATTGTATTTTCACTTATTTCATTAAACATTTCTCAGTGACATTTTAATTTGGTTCTGTTGCATGTGTGGCTCCTTTGACACCTCTACACGACTGCCAAATCAATTTTTCTAAAGCTCAAGTCCTCACCAGGTCACTCTCTGTACAAGAAGCTTTGGTGGCTCCTTCTTGCCTCTACTATTGATATTAGTCCCTTGTAATCTTTATCTAATCCTTCTAGGATGGTTGCATATTTTTCTCTCGTAACGCTCTGTATTCCATCCCACCAGTGTTCCTTATACGGTGCCTTTGCATAATACAAACTCTTTTAATGTGCTCCATCTTTGATTGTTTCAAGCTTCTTCTCAAGTGCTACCTACTTCAGGCGCTCTCCCCTTCACCTGAAATTACTTTGTGTTTTCTCATCCATGTTGTTTTTCTTCAGTAGAATGTCAGCTCCTTGTCAGGGACTTAGTGAACTTCTTGTCTTGCTTTGTGCTGGGTACTGAGTAGAAACCTAGTAAATGTAAGTGCTTTTGGTTCCAGGACCTCAGCTTCTGGTTTGTCTTTGGGTTCCCAAGACTGATCTCCTTTCTACTATATTCCTTGTTGTCTTCCAATAGAGATAAAACTTTGATCCTGCTTCAGAAAATTTAAATGTAAATCTCCTATGAGTTGAAGGCAGTCAGGCCGCATAGTGGATAGAGCTAGAGTCAGGAAAACCTTAGTTCAAATTCTACCTAACTCTGTAATCATGGGTTTATCAACCTCATTTGTAAAATGGGAATAATAATAGCACTTGCCTTCTAGGTTTATTATGAGGATAAAATGAGATATTTGCAAAAATGATCACAGTTATATCTGTTACCTGTTACTATTGCATAAAAAGTTTTCTACGGGTCATCATGTAGACATAATATACATATATTTATTATTGTGAATTACTAAAGTAGACCTCACCTCACCCCTTTGCTCAAGATGCTTCAGCTTACACACATAACCCCAAAAGTGCTTTCTTTGTGCTAGATACTGAATTAGATTGTCCATTGACAGTCACGGGGGGAGGGGGAGATTGGGGGGGGGTATCTTCTCTCTTAGTCATTGCTGGCAAGATTCTTGCCAGAGTCCTCCTTAATAGTGTGATCCTTCACCTGGAGGATGGTCATCTACCTGAGAAGCTAGTGTGGCTTTAGAAAGGGCTGAGGAATGGTTGATACGGTGTTTGCTACCAGACAACTCCAGGAGAAATGCCAGGAGCAGAACCAGGGGTCTGTACAAAACATTTGTAGATCTGACCAAGGCCTTTGATACTGTCTGTCATGAGGGCTTATGGAAAATTATATCAAAATTTGGTTGCTCAAAGAAGTTCATCAGCATTGTATGTCAATTTCATGACGACATGCTTGCCTGGGTTCTGGATAATGGACAATGCTCTTGTGCTTTCCAGTCACCAATGGAGTGCAACAAGGCTCTGTGCTTGCTCCTGTGCTTTTCAGCATGTTTTTCAGCCTTGTTGTGAAATGCTTTCAATGAGGATAAATGTGGCATCAAGGTCAGCTACTGCACTGATGGTAAATTCTTTTAACTTGAAAGGAGTATAAGCCAAGACCAAGGTGGAAGGAGTGTTGGTGCATGATTTTTTGTTTGAAGATGATGGTGCACTCATTGCAGCCTCTGAAGCTCAGTTGCAACAAAGTCTGGATTGATTCTCTGCTGCTTGTGCTAATTTTGGCCTAACAATTAACGTCAAGAAAACACAGGTGGTCCATAAGCCAGCACCACACCATCTGTATGTGGAACCATTGGTCACCAGCAAATGGAGAAGTTTTGAATGCTGTGGATAAGTTTTCCAGGGATGTACACATTGATAATGAGGTTGATGCATGCATTGCCAGAGGCAGCTCAGTGTTTGAGAAGCTCTGAAGGAAAGTGTGGGAGAGAAGAGGTATTAGACTGACCAACAAACTGAAGGTCTACAGAGCCATTGTGCTGACCTCATTGTTGTATGCCTCTGAAACCTGGACTTTATAACAGCACCATACCAGGAAACTGAATTGTTTCCATTTGAATTGTCTTAGGAAGATTCTGAAGATCACCTGGCAGAATAAGATAGCAGATACTGAAGTCCTTTCTCAGACTAAACTGCCGAGCATGCAAACTCTGCTTCAGAGAGCGCAACTCCTATGGGCTGGCCACGTTGTTCGAATGCAAAATGTACACTTGTGAAAAAGACTTTTATGGAGAACTCGCACAGGGCTAGCATTCATATGGTGATCAGAAGAAGCGATACAGGGACACTCTCAAGGTCTCTCTTAAAAACTTTGGAATTGATTGTATGACATGGGAGACACTGGCACAGGAGTGCTTCGCATGGCATGTGCTCTGTGAGCAAAGCAGAATTAAAATAGCTCAAGAGAAACACAAGATAATGCAGACTTAGAGAATCCACCCCAAAGGTTCATAGGGACTGCATGTACCCGACCTGTGTTAGAACATTCCAAGCTCATACTGGTCTGATCAGCCAGTCGGACACATTAAAACTTAACTCCAATGTAGTGATGTCATTTTGGTTCTTTTCGAAAACGAAGGACAACCACCAGTTGTCTTCATGCTGGCTCCCCCCCCCCCCCATTCGACTGAGCTTCTTGAAGGCAAACACTGCTTTTTCCTTTCTTTATATCCCTAGCACTTAGCACAGGCGCTTAGTAAATTCTTCTTGACTGACCATAAGCTCACATTCTATTTTGAATTTCTAAGGGGTCTCAGATCAGATGTCATTGGTTTTACCTATCCAATTTATCAAAATTTTTATTTTTATCTATCTTAGGGCAGATAAATAAGATGTAGTATTTTAACAACTTAGGAAATTTACATTAAATTACAAAATTCATTTCTGTAATATGGTAAGTTGTAAATATATTGGACTTTGTTTTTTTCCCCCACTATAGAACATGAGTCGTGGAGCTTTTTTCTCTTTTTGATGAGAATGGTGCTATTAAAATCCTCTTTATCAGCATTGGCAGTCATGAACTCCTCATGGTTATGTTTATTTGTATTGACTTGAACCTCAAATATCTAGAATCTACACGAATGGTTTTACAGTTTCGTAACTTGTGCCAACAAACAAAAACCCTGTATTGTGAAGCATTTATTCCATAGGAGTGTCAGTATTTTGCTTCCAACAAAAAAATTATTTGGAAATGCCATTGCTTTATCTTTGCCCTGATTACTCACAGAGCTTTGTCCTGTTTCTTATTTACAGTATTTGGATGATGACCTGAAAGTCGCTGGAAAATACAAAGGGAATGATTACAGCCAGTACTCCCCTTGGTCATGTGACACCATCAGCTCCTACATCGGGACCAAAGATGCAAAACCCAAAGATGCTGTTGCAGCTGGCAATGTGGAGATAACGGTGTGTACAACCCCAGACTTGCCAAAACTGTCTACAGTGCCAAAACCTGTCCTTTCAGTGGGCTCTGGCCTGTGCCTGGCCACGCAGCCCTCCATTTAGGGAAGGCCTAAGTTTTTAAAGGTAGTGCAAAATGGACCTGTGTTTAGAATTTGCCTGCTGTGTAATGTCAGCCTCTGTAGCAGCTCAGTTCCCCAACAACTGAGACCAAATTGGTGTGCGCTTTGTTGTCTTTGATCAAGACCCATATTTGTTGTTTTCACCCAATTATAACCTTAATTTTTTAATAGTTCTGAAGTGTAAATAGTATTACTGCTATAGTTAATATTGTGAGCATTAGTAAACCATTGTCACAGTGCTTAAAAAAAATTTCTGTCTGAAGTCTAGATAGGCTAATTGTTGCCCTGCATTGAAGGGCTGTTATTTGAAAAGAGAAATTATATTTATTTTTGGTGTTTGTAGGGAAAAAGAAACTAGGATGATTGAGTAGAAGTTAGGAGGTAAATCTTAGTCCAGTATCAGGAATAACTTTCTCACAATTTGAGCTGCCCCCAAAATAAAATAGGTAAAAAGCATTAAGATAGTGAGTTCCCTATTATTTGAGATATTCAAGAAGAAGCTTTATGACTACTTGTTTGGAGTATCATGGCAGGATGTATTTATCTGTTGGGCAGTGGTATGTCAAACTCAAATAGAAACATCCCTGCAGGCCGCTTATTGACCTAGAAAACCACAAATTGACATCTGTGTTGCATTGTATATTTTGTAAAACATTTCCCAGTTACATTTTAACCCCTCTAAGGATAGGGGATTGAACTTGATGGCTGTTAAGTTCTTTTCCAACTTTGTGATTTTTTTTTTTTTTTAATGGTAGTGTATGACCAAAAGTGGGAAGTAGGAAATTAACCTATACTTGAGTTCGTATGTGGTGGAGAGAAAAAGGGAGGACCTGATTTTTGGAAAGATCTTGTTAAATCAGTACACAAGCATTTATGCCGGTTCTGTGCCAATCCTGAGGAGATAGAAAAAAAAAGAGAGACCATCCCTCAAGGAGTTCATCTTCTGTCAGGAAGGAGAACCCTTGCTGTGGCAGTGACTAGAAGGAGATAGTAATATAGGTAACAGAAATGTGAACGAAAACAAGTCTCCTCCCACCTTTCAACTGCCCAGACAGATATTACCCGCCCTGTTCCATCCTTTGAGCTCTTTCAGGCCAGAAATGTGTCATTCAGGGTTCAGCTCTTGGGCTTTTCTATAATTAAAGCTTCCTGTGGCAAGTCTTGGGAAACATTCTAGCCTATAGAAATTGTTCTGGGTTACTCAGTTTAGCTCAGGGGTTCTCAAACTGGGATCCATGAACCCCTGCAGGAAAGGGCATGGATACATCTCAGGGAGACAATGAATTTAAATGGCTTTTGATTTTCACCCATCTCTAACTGAATTTTAGCATTTCCTTCAATTATGAATATTGATAACAAACATTCTTTTGAGTAGAGGCTTCACCAGACTACCAAAGGGGACATTGGCCTATAAAATTGTTAAGAACCCTGGTATGATTTCATTCTTTATTCCCTAGCTAAAATCCTCTCTGAAAACTGAAGAAGTGGTTTCATCACTTACTAGCCATGTGGACTCAGCTTTGCCCTCATTGTCTTTATCATTGGACCAGAGCAGAGGTTGTTAGCCTTTTTTGTGTCATATATACCTTTTCAGAATAATGTTTTTAAATGCTCAAAATATAAAGCATAGGATGACAAGCAAAACCAGTATTTTGAAATATAGATATCAAAATATAAGACAGTGTCATGGACCCCAAAGTTAAGAACCTGGACTAGAGGATCCAGAAGGTCTTTTCTAGCTCTACCATTCAGTAATTCTATTGAATTAAAATATAGAACACTTCTGAATCCTTCTGTCCATCTTTCTAGTTTCATTATAGTATTTTAGTCTTACAGAGGTAAAGAACATTATAGTAGAAAAAACTTAAGGTGGGAATGGGCTTTCTCTTTTTGACTTGTGTCTACCAGAATGCAGAAAGTAAAAGTGTGAGAGACCAGCGGCTAGAGCTTCAGCGAAGGGTAGCAGAAACCAGTGATGATGACCTCATCCCGTTTGGTGATCGGCCCACAGTGTCCCGGTTTGGCGCCATATCTCGAACTTCCAAGACCATGTATCAGGGTTCTGGCCCAATGCAGGCTCTAGCACCTCAGGGGACTTCCACCAAATCAATCAGCATGTCTGGTGAGTATTTGTGAATTCATTGAGGGTCAGATGAAATATTTTTGGCTTTTTCCTTTAGTATTGAAGTATTCTTAGCTTGTCAGTGTTTAATTTATCTGATTTTTAGAAAGTTGTGTTTGAGGCTGTCTAGGAAGCTAGTAATTGTAGCTTAAAGGAAAAGAAGCCAACGTGAATTGGATATTTCCTAAATAGCTCTCTTTCTCTTAAAGATTATAGTCCATATGGAACTCATGGTGGCTGGGGAAGTTCTCCATATTCCCCTCACCAAACTATGCCTTCTCAGGGACACTTCACTGAAAGGTATGTCTGTCTGTCTTTCTATGTTGGGGGGGGGGCAGGGGGAAGGGGAGGATGGGACGGGACGACAGTGGAGGTGTGGATTGTTTTTCCTTTTCTCTGTGCACGTTGTAATGATGTATTATTTTTAGCATTCTTTCCTTTTTAAATTTTTAGTTCCAAATTCCCTCCCCTACCCACTGAGAAGGCTAGCAATATATAAATTATACATGTTATACATGTGACATCTTGCAAAACATTTCCATATTAGCCATAATTTTTTGTAAAAGGCAAGAAATATAAAGAACGTACACAAATTATACTTCAGTTTCATACAGAGTTCATCAGTTCTCTTTCTGGAGGTACATAGCATTTTTTCATCATGAGTCCTTTAGAATTGTCTCATATCCTTACTTATCAGAGCAGCCAAGTCTTTCACAGTTGATCATCCTTACAACATTGCTGTTACTCTGCACGATGATCTCCTCATTCTTCTCACTTCACTTTGAATCAGTTCATGTAGTCTTGTCATGTTTTTTCTGAAACCATCCCCATTGTCATTTCTTATAGCACAATGTACTGTTGTCCATCATAATCGTATACTTGTTGACTTGTTCAGCCGTTCCCCTGTTGATGAGAATTCCCTTGATTTCCAATTCTTTGCTACTACAAAAAGAGCTGCTATAAATATTTTTGTACATACAAATCTTTTTTCCTTTTTCTTTAATCTCTTTGGGATACAGACCTTGTAGGGGTATTACTGGGTCCAAAAGTATGAACAGAGAGTTTGCTGTGAACTTAAGAGAGTTCTTAAGTGAGTTTTATCTTGCCATTCAGTTATTCTGGCTGCAGTAATTGCACTTTGATTCCTTTTCTTTTTTTGCTTTCCCATCAAAGGGAAAGATTGTCCATGTCAGAAGTGGCCAGTCATGGGAAGCCTATGCCCTCTGCTGAGAGAGAACAGCTGAGACTAGAGCTGCAGCAGTTGAACCACCAGATTAACCAGCACACCCAGCTTCGAGGACTCGAGGTACTGACCTAGGCATGACTTTGCTTTTTTGACTTGAGACTTCAAGAGATTGAGAAAAACTTGACACACTACAGAGGCAAATTTTTAGGTGTCATATTCTAATGATTCAGCCTTCTGTGGAATGAACTAACTTTGTACAAGCATTAAAAGGTATCTTTCTGAAATCTCAATATGTAACTAAATTCCGTATTTGGAAGACATTTTGGTTAATATTATTAAGCAGTAGGAGCTCTGTGTACCTGTTAATAATCTGGAGTTTAAGAATTATAGTAATTAGAAACAAATGCTCTTAGCTTAATCCTGTTCATTAATGTCATTCAACAAACATTCAAGTGCCTGTTATGTAAAAAGTACTCTTTTTTAAGTCTTGATTTGTATTCCTTTTTTCTGAACTTGCCACCATTTGTAATTAATTCTATAAATAATTAATGTGCTTTGAAAAATGGCAGGTGAGAAAGTAATGACCTGTGTTCACATTAACCTTTTTATATATTCTGTGTTTTAGCTAAATGGGTCTGCTTTTTATTTCCTGAACTGAGTACTCCATCTGCCCCTGTGCTTTATCTGATATGTATTCCATGTGAACCAAAGGGTCAGCTCATGGGCCACCTCCTCCAGTCTTTATCATCCCCATTAGTTGTGTTCTCTCTCTCTTCAGATTATATTTATTTATCTGCATAAATACCGTAAACTTCTTGAAAGCAGGAACTTTTATTTTGTCTTTTTATACCCAGACCTAGTATAATGCTTTTCCCGTAGTAGGTACTTAATCATTATTTGTTGAACTGAATTTTTTAAAAAATTTAAATAAAAAAAACATATTCACTTCCATACACACATGCACACACCCATGCATGCGTGTGTAAAGGGTGTTGGAATAAAGTAAATTTCAGAAGACAAGCTTGCTATTTTATCTTGTAATTTCGTTTACAAGTTTGTGAAAGAAATATTGGATATCAAATGTAACAAATAATGTTGATGGCATACTTTTGGGAACATAGATGAGGAATGATTAAATCTTGGTATGCTAATATTATCATCCTTTGGTTATAATTTCACTTGTGTTCCAGAGAAAACCATTAGAACACTGAGTGGATACTAATATGTTATTTTCCTTCAGGAAACATGATTGTAGATTGTTTTGGAGAGAAAATTATAACTAACTACAGTCCTCATTTTTATCATTAGGAAAAATTGTTGGGGGGGCGGTGTTTTTAATTTTATGTCTTGCTTTGTGCTATTGTGGTGGGGTTTAGCATTCATGAGATCTGGATATGTTTATATTTTGCATGCCTGCTTTTTGTCGGTATCTTAATTTTGGATTGTTTCAAAATCTTTCTGCCACATCTGATCACTTATAATGCTGTTGTGATCGAGCATATTTATCTTGAATTAGATCCTGCACTTTCACAAGTTTAGAACCTTCAGCCCTGGTTCCTTTTTTTCCCTAGGAAGGTATCTGCAGTTTGTAAATTGATTGCTTAATTTAGTCTTTTAATTCTGTCAATTTCTAGAACTGTCTGTCTAAAAGGCAGATATTCAGGGCCATTTCCGACTTTGCTAGCTGCTAGTCTCTTCAGTCATTTTAGCCAAACCTCTTTGCCATTACCTTAAGTAAATCCCATTGAAACATTTATGGGCTTAGAATCCCAGCAAAATTTTTTTAAATGGGTTGGAATGGGTAAATCTTTATCAGTATGTCCTACTTAATTAAAAGAGAAAGAACAAATTAGCCTAAACATGGAACATCTGAAGTCATTGTTACTTAATAAATACTCAGTAAGCATTGGGGATACAAAGGAAGGCAAAAACCTAGTGCCTCCAGACCTTAATATTTCACATAGTGTTTAAAGAAAGACAGTACTTTATGATGCCATCATTTGTTGGGAAGATACTTGTCCTTATGGCCATAAAGCAGTAATCATCACTTATTCCCTGTTTAATTTTTGTGCATGGCATGAGTGCTGAGTTGTGTATATGCTTGGCTTTGTACGTTTAGGCTGTTAGTAACAGGCTGCTGTTGCAGAGGGAGACGAACACTCTGGCAGGCCAGCCTCCTCCCCAACCTCCACCACCACCGCCCAAGTGGCCCGGAATGGTCTCAAGTGAACAGTTGAGTTTGGAGCTACACCAGGTGGAGCGGGAAATCGGGAAGAGAACTCGGGAGCTGAGCATGGTGAGTGAGTTGAGTAATTGCTGTAATCAGAGATCTGTTGACAGTCATAGAAGGGGATCACATTGGGTTTATAAAAATGAGCTTTCTCCTTGCTGGTTGTTCCTGTTTTATTTGACTGTATTCTTTTTTTCTTATTCTGCATTAAGAAAAACTCCTACTGAAGGCTCTTTGTTTAAAGAAAGAGACAGAAATTACCTGAAAATGTTTAAACTAGATTTTGAAATCTAGAGCCAAGTTGGGAGGCAAGAATTGCTGTAACTCACTGTAGAAATAGTGTAGTGTGTGAAAACCATTGTCCAGCAACTTTCTGTTTTGTTTTTCCATGAACCATTGGTGACTCTTTACCCATTTCTTCCAAACAGTACTGGTGTGTGAGATTTTACTGATAGTACTGATGTTCTTAGGTTTTATGTTTGTGGTCCTTTCCTTCCTCTAAAGAAATTTCTAATCTTAATGGATAGACTAGTTTTCTTGAGCTTTCCATGTTAGTAATATAATTTTTAAAATTATTTTAAAGGGTTAGGGTTTTTTGTTGTTGTTAGTTAACTCCTATTTTATTAGTGAAATTATCTGTTTTGCCTTGGAGCCTACTCCCCTTTATTTCCCATGTGGTCCCAGGACTTGGATCAGTTCATTGGGAATAAATAAGAAGTGGATATGGATTAGGGTAAATCTGACTTTGTTTTTGACTCTGTTTCAAAGCTGAATAAGAATAATTGGAATATCTGCAGTTCTGTCTTAATCTGTTCTATCTCTTGTCCATTAGCTTGGGTAATTGAGAGATGACTTTATTTCCTCCTCTTTCAAAGGAGAACCAATCTTCTCTGGATATGAAAAACAAATTGGGTCCCAGTAAGCAAGCAGAAAATGGACAAGCAGAACCGCAGAACAAGGTTCCAGCTGAGGACCTTGCATTGACATTCAGGTAAAGAAGTGAGCATTCTTCTGCTCTTTGTAATCTGTTGTATAATACCCAAAGGAAGATTGATTATTTTGGTTTGTGCTAAAATTGAAGAGCTATTTTAAGATCTTGTCATTTTGAATTTTAATTTTAAATGTGTACCTAAGATGAAAGAAATTAAAATTTAGCTTTCATAACTCTTCTGCCAGAGCTGCAGTAGTGATTTGGCTAATTAACCTAAACTTAATGAGATATTTAAAGGTTTTATTCACTCCAAATCCCTCCTGACTTTCAAACAAATTATGTTAATTAAGGAACTATGTCTATTTGTTAAGCTTACACAATACCCAGCTATTCACAGAATTACTTTTTAAACGCCATTGTTCCAAATATCTCTGTATTTGAAAATAAGATTCAGCTTTAGCACTTCGTGCCATCAAGCAATGATGGGAGTTCTTTAGTAGTTGGAAAAAAAATTTTATCATAAACTTTGATAAAATTTATTAAGATAAATTAATATGTCAAAAAGATGCATTTTCTCAGCAGCTGAGAGTGTAGATGCTTTTTTTTTTTCCTTTTGGCAGTACAGTCGGTGTTTAGTGACTTGCCCAGGTTCACACAGCTAGTTGTGTCAAGTGTCTGAGGCCAGATTTGAACTTAGGTCCTCCTGACTCCAGAGCTGGTACTCTATCCATTGCACCACCCATCTGCCCCTTTTAGACCCTTTTTTCTGTGTTTTTCAGTGGAGCTAAGAACACTGCATGTATATCACCTCTTGATAACTTTGTTCATTTCCTAGCTTATTCTCTCATTTTACACTACTGTTTCATCCTTCTGACTTTAGCAGTGAGGTGCCGAACGGATCGACGTTATCCCAAGAGAACATCAGCCTCCTGTCAAACAAGACCTCCTCTCTGAGCCTGGCTGAGGATCCGGAAGGAGGAGGAGATAACAATGACTCTCAGAGGGCGGGAGTCACGTCCAGCTCTGCTCCCTAAAATGGGAGGAGAGCTGCTTGCTTCTTCCCTCATTCAGTCTGTGGAGGAGAAGGGCAGGAGTGGTGTTCATAACTTCCAGACCTTCTGCTCTGAGGGTGACCAGAGAAACCCAGGAACAGCAGCAGGTTCGGAGACAATGTGCACAAACACCACTACTGAAAACAAAACCTGCACATAGTTCACATTAATGCGTTTTTTAATTAAAAAAAAATGAAAATAAGCAGTATCTGCAAGCAATTCAGATTAAATTTGTTTTTGTTCTGTGAATGAACTTTATTTTAATAACTTTGGACGCCTTGGATCCAGGGCTTTAAAAAAAAGAAGAAGAAGATATTATATATATACTCTGTTTGATTAATTGTATGATCTTAATGAAGTAGGTTTTTCTTTTATTTTGGTATTATTACATACCCAGTGTATACTTCTTACCCACATACTTCCTTAACTTGCCTCTCTCTTCCCTCTCTTCCCCTACTGCCCCCCACTTCCCCAGACAAAAAAGCACCTGGCCTTCTTGTGTGAATTTTAAGGTGCTTCAGAGGCAAAAAATTGATTACTGACTATAATGTCAGAAAATGTGCAGTAAAATTCCTTTTTACAAAGTGTGTCGTTTTTGTTTTTAATGGCCATCATTAATACCTTTTTTCCTTTGCTAAACATCATCTTCCCTTTTTGTATCTGTATTTCATGCCATTCATGTAAGCAAGTCTTAGGGGTTTTTTTACCCCTAGAAGTGATCTATCGTTAACAGATTGAATAGCCTTATCATTGTTATTACCAATACCAACTTTCTCCTTGATGTAATTAGAATACTGATTCACCTTCTAAAACGCTTAGCCCGGGTTATCATGAAAGCCAGTTGTAGCTTAGCACTGAAAGCACAGGATATGCTGACTTTCTTCATTTAACCAGGTTAGAGAGTCTTGTTGTAAATGTTGAGGTAGTACTTGGAAATTTGAAGCTCTGTTGTCGGCTTCTGAACTCCAGTTGAAATCACAGCTCCTATTCAGGAGCTAGTACACCTTATGTGATAGAGTGTATCACTTGACTTAACTGAAAATGAATTCGACATCTAGTTCCCTTTTACATGTCTTAGCTGTTGGGCTTGTTAAATCATTTTCTCTTTGTGTCCTGAGAACATAGCACTGGAGACACTGAAAGCTCTTTATTTTCAGGAAGGATGAAAGAAGGCAAACTGTCTGGCATTTGACAACAGTCTGAATGGCTGACCGTCTGTTTGTCTTCAGAACAGTTAGCAGAAGTAGGTAGTTAATACCTGAAAATCAGTTTTAGTGGACCTTCACTGACCATAATTTTAAAAAATTACTTTTCACTAAGCCCTTGAAAGGAATGAAGAATTTCCCTTGCCAGCCACTTAAAAAATCCATTTAATTGTTGCTGCACATATTCTGATATTTCTTATCTACCCTCTGCCAAAAGCCTCTAAATCTGATGTTCAGTGGGGATAAATTGATGTAAGTCACCCTTACTTCCTGCCTATTACCCTCTCTTTGCCTGATTGTTTTGTTTCCTTTTCTGTATTAGACTACTAAATCAGAAAGCACTGGTTATGTAATAAGTTACTGCATTGCTTTGGTTGGGTAAAAGCAAGAGTTAATATTTTTCTTGTTTATTTTTTTTTTTCTTAACCCTTAACTCCTGCTAAGGTCATAGCAACCTTGGGCTAAGCTTTTTGTCCATCATACTGTTAATTAAGGGGGGGGGTGGGGGGGAAGGTGATACAGTCCTGCCATTGCCTACCAGTAGGAGAGTCCAAACAGAACACTCTTTTGAGTAGCAATTATTTAATTTGCCCAGTCAAGGCACCGCATTTATATACTATTTCACATTGAATTTGATTATGCCCTACAGACCTGGCTGGTCAAGGATTTGATATACACATATTGGCTTGGGATTCGAGCTTTCTTTTTTATTTAAATAAAAATTTATATATATATTATATATATATACACATATACATAGTTATATCTGTATATATATTAAGTACGTTTTAAGGATTTTTTCGCATGAGCGCAGCTGTTGCGATCAAATGTCCGATTGGGAGGTAGAAGCACTGAACTTGAACAAAAACGAGACCTTTTTTTCATTTTTCTTTTTTGCTCACTTAAATTCTGATTTTCTGACCTTTTCAACTTTGACTTCAGAGTAGTTAAGCCCCTAAAAGTTGATTCTTCTTTTAATACCTATTTTCCATGGGGAGAAGGAAGAAAAGCTTCTATATCCCTGATGGATTCTCAAGGTTTCTGCAATTCATTTTTCTGTACAACCAAAATGCAATGTGTAGATCTTTCATCAGAGAATGATTTGGACAAATCCCTTTTTTCATTTGGACGTGTTAGATAATTCCTTCATTAGAGAGGCAAGTTGATTAATTTTAGAAGTCATGGTGCGTTCTGATGATGGAAGCAGCTCTGTAGAAGTTTTAGGGACCTTGATTGTATAGCAGCACAAAACAAAGGCAGAGATCCATATGGAAGTTTCCTTGAGGGAAAAAGTAGTGAGTTCTCCTGCTAGCGCAGTGCTCACTAGCTTATTTTTATCTTTTCCTTGGGAGACATTTTTTAAAAAATTTTTTAGTAATACAAAAGCTTTTTCCAACTAGGTTGAATTTACACTGTACATCTATGTGGGTAAACCAAAAAATTCTGTTGTTTGAACTTGAATTTGTAGCCACCTTGTTTTATTTTTAAATATGTAATTTTGAAAAAAATAATCTCTGAGTTATTGCATGTATTTACTGCTTCTGATTCCCTATTTCCATATTTCAGAAAAAACTTTGGGTAGGTACATGATAATTAAAACTATACTCATAACTTGTTTACTCCATATATATCTACTTTTTCTCTGTATACAGCAGCAAAAGAAAGTCCAAAATATTGTGTATGGTGTTCTCTTATCCCTCCCAATTGTATTCATGCTGCACTTTGTACAGTGTCCTTGTTGCGATTAACTTGGCCAGGTGAATGTCCTGTTTGGATATAATCTATTGGCTCTTAAACTAGTTTTTGTTAATATCTGCAAAAGGCATTGATTTTTTTTTCCTCATTTATTTGTTGGGTTAGTTTTAAATTTCTGGATGTCTTTTCTCTATTTCCTTGGAGGAAGTTAGCAAGTGAAACCAGTCAGGTTAGAAATATAGTTTATAAACTTTACACTTTTTTAGAAAATTTAAATTCTTCTGAATACTACTTTATAGTCTCTTCCCATGATTGAGTTTCCTGGGAAGTGTGAGAAACTCTGTAAATATGATTATACCTCCACTGTAAGAACTGTTGGTTGATACCATAGTTCCTTAGAAAAATGATTTTTTTCTGAATATTGTTTCTTCAGGATATAAAAAACATTTATTTCCTGTTTGTTTATGCAGTCAGGTTAATGGGAAGTTGGCTTACTGATGTGTACCAGGAAAGTAAAATTTAAGGCATGACCTAAAACATGGCTTTTTTGCCCCACAGTTTTAGTAAAAGCTATAGAGGCTTGATTAAAGGTGAGTGGATTAAGGGCAAGACTTTACAAGCATTGCTCTGTGATAATTAATTCTCTTTTTTCAGCTAGCAGAGTAAGGGTTTTATTGTGGTAGGCGATGTTAAACTAAGAATGCTCCTTCAGGGTTTTTCACAGGTTATCTGGAAGATGATTTTTAGATCTGATTGCCCTTCTTAAATATGCAATTTACTTTACCTTAATATTTTTAAAGTAAATTCATCACTTAAGTCTGTAGATTTCCTTCCTTATGTGCCTTTGAAGAGAATGAAATGACTGAGGGTTCATTCCTTGTGACCTTCCTGGTTAAGGGGAGAGCTTGTCCTACGAAAGCCCATACTTAGAGAAATGTTTGACAGGGAAACAACCCTGCCTCCAAGGCCAGTCCCAGAGAATCAGCCGGAGAGTAGGGAAACACAGATGTATTTGACCTAGTAAGTACTGTGGGGGTGATTCCTCTTCCTCACCTTATCCATCCCCTATTCCTTACTTGTTCTTTTCCACACTTTCTCATTTCATTTATTTCCCAGAAGACAGGAATTGTGTATGATTCTCACTTGCCACTTTATTATTTATTTAATGCATTACAGAATACATTACACATTACAGAATAGGAATTCTAAAAACATCTCAAATTTTGCAGCACTGTGTTTAGATTTAACCCAAAAAATAGTTCCTCAGCTGCCTGGTTTCTTTTGTCAATATTCCATTCTGCTTATCCCCTTTGGCTCACCCACCACCCTCCCCAATCGTACAACAGTGACAGCTTGCTGCCTCAAAACAGAGCATTCAAATGAATTCGCTTAGCCAATAACTTCTGTGAAGTTGCCTTTTCTAATGGTGTTATTACTCAGTGATGCACAAATGTGGTATTGCCCTACTGGTAGGCAAACAAAGGTCTGATTAAGAATGGTAGCCTGCTATTTTCTTTAAAGGAGAGCCAAAGACTTGTGCTTTACTCTGTTTTGGTTTGGGGGAATTAGTAGCCTTTTTTGATTGTAAAACCATTTAGTGTTCATGAGGTGATAGTACTGTGCAGACAGATGTGTTTAAAGTTAACTGCTAAAGCCTTATGAAGTGTAAAAATAGTAAAAAGTCATTTCTTTAAACTGATTAATCTCATATCTTTTACATTAGCATGTTTTAAGAAACTCATTGCTTTCGTATACACGTCTTACATTTCTTTTTACTCTCCCAGCCTCTTTTAACTTTGTATATGAAAGTAAAAGAGGCTAATATCATTGTAATCAAGTCATGAGACTGCGACAAATTAATTATTGAACAAATTACTGATTAGAAATGGTGGTAAGAGACATCCAGCCTAGTAAGCAAGGTATGTGTGTGTTGCCTTTGGGAGTTTTTTTTAACAAGAACAAGTGGAGTTGTTAATATGCACATAGGTCCTTTTTACCAAAGAGGATGTAGTTAACATTACTGATCCCCCACTAGTGAAGGAAGGATCATGTAGTTTTTGAAAATATATTCTAAGGAACTTAAGACTATTTGTTACCTCTCCTCACTTTTTCCTCTTTTTTAGGGAATCCATGTGTAAAATCTTTTAAAGCTCCATTGAAAATTTTTTTTATCGAAAGTAATAGCACTGTATCAGTCATTTAAATACTCCCAACCTCAACTTCTCCAACCTCTTTATATTTTCCAGAAAGTAATTGCTCAGTCTGTCACTGAGGTTTCTGTTTTGAACTGTTGTCTTATGATTGTTTTTCCCATTGGGAGAAGAATCCAAGTGGCAGCAGTATGTGTGGCCTACTTTTTCTTCTCCCCCAACACATCTGTCCTTAATGGGTTTGTTGGTGCAGAACTGTCAGACTAAAGAACAATGTAAGCAGAACATCTGGGGTATAATAAGGTGCCTCTCATTATAGCATTACTTTACAAATATATCCATTCTTAGTTTACCTTCATTCATTTATTCCTTCCTGCTCTGACAAAATTAAATTTCAATACAGTAATTTTTGTGTCCTCAGATAATCTTGTATTTAAAAGTAGAATGGCTCCTGTTTTTGCTTTTTAAATTCCAGCTTTATTTGGTTCAGTACATTCTGCTGAAAAGACTTAAGTTTGTATTTTTTGGATGTATTGGATTTAACACAAAGTATTCTTAAATCAGCTTTTTAGTCACTTCAAAAACATTTTTAATGGGAAATTTGCATTTTTTTTTAGAAAGCATAGCTAACTTTGAATACTTAAACTTTAATCTTTTAGATTTTATGTGATCACTAAAAAGCAAAGAAATTATGCTATTGGATCATTAGGATCCATAGTTGGCTATCACTTGTTATGGATGCTAAATGATATATAAATGATACACTTAGCTATTAAGTTCTTGTTTTAGTGATAAAGAATAAGGAAAACATCACTTAAAATACCAGGATTAAGAACTATTTTCCCATTAAGACGACTTTTCTGTACTCTACTGAGCAAGGTGGGTAACAGCCCTTTGAAATCCTGTTACGAAAAGGGACAAGGGATATGTGTGTGAGATACATGATTATATATAATATTAAGCTAAAAATTTTTAACAGCTATTTGGACTTTAGCACATCTTTATCTGCCCTTGGATATTCATCCAGATCATGAATTTCTTCCAAACCAAAAGCCTGGTACACCCTTCCCTTTCATCTTCAACTTCTCCTCTCCCCACTACCCCCAACAAAAAAGAAAGGGAAAAAATCCCTAGAGAAATAACATTTTCTTTGGGCTGGAGGGAGAGGCTATATTTTACCAAAAATAACAGGTGTCCAGAAATGGACATGCATCAAATGAAAAAGATAAACCTGTGGAATATTTAATGTTGACTATAAAATTTGATGACTGAGTTCTTATATTGAGGTCTCAGTCTGGTTGAGGGGCAGGAAAGGGGATACTGTTCTCAACAGGCAAAGCTTACAAGTCTTTGGCATCCAAAACAGAGTGTGCATTCAGTCATCTTACAACTGGAAACTGTCCTGTGGCCCTTCCTAACTTTGTATTTTAAAAAACTATAGTGAGGCGTGAGTTTGTTACCTGTAGCTATCAGTAGTACCATAGGTTGCCTTGATCCCTCTGCTTTAATTTGACTGTAATTCAAATAGAATATGAAACAGCCCCTTAAAAATTCCTTTGTTTTCTGATTTAAGTGGTTTTGAATTTTCATTTTAACTTGTGCATGCCACATATTTTTCTTTATGCTACTAAGGAACCTCCCAGGAAAAGGCTACTCTTTTCCAAGAACATCATTGCCAACATTTTTATGCTGTTTTTCTTCCCTTCTGGTAACTGGAACTTCATTGAAGTACTCAAAATTATTTTTCGTTCATTTTTTATTCATTGATCCAGATACGTGGTCATTTTGCTTTTGGGTAGTTCTGTGGCTTTTTGGGAAGATAAGAGATGAAGAAAGAAGGGTTAAGATGTAGTCATGGGATAAATGTTTTGAATTCCAAAAGCAACTTTCTAGTTGTGAGGTTCCTTTTATGGTATGTGTGGTTTCTTTCCCCTCTTTCCCTTTTATCTGACTATGGCTGTTTGGTCTTTAGGCTCATACCAGTCTCCCGAGACATTCTGCAGTCATTATCACCTTTTTGGGTGGAATTTATTTTATGTTGTGGTTTTTAAAAAAATAACTTTTTAACATTGGTGCATATATGCTTGGGTTAGAGCTCGTGTAATTTACCAATCGTATTGATTGTATGTGATTGTGCCCTGCAGAGGTATATTTAACAAAACAAAAATAAATAGTCTAGGTTAATAAAGGAGACCATGAGATTTGAGTCAGGTTGTAAGTGACTTCACTTAAATCTAATCACTTAGAATTTTGGATAAGTGAAAATTCATATCTACTGTTCTAAATCAATGTTAAAATATCTAATCTTTGTTGTAGTATGGTTTCTCTCTGCCCCTTTCTTCTGTGCCTCAGCTCCCTACTCTCTTCCTAACATACCTCTTTTAAAAAGAAAACAAATTCATTGAGCCTTACAGCAGTAACTGATTGAAATTGCTGAATTTTCTAAATGGTGATTATATTTCTTCTTATGTTTCAAACCCCCCAAAATTGAATGTAACTGGCATTTGTAGGTGAAATTTGCAATCTGTGAACCTTTCTTTAACTCCATTAGGATTTGGGGAAACTGTGAAAGTGGATGTAATAACTATGTCCTAAAAAGTCCTTTTGGAATAGGAGAAAGAAAAATGCTTTTTGAAAGGAATAACTTTTTTTCTTTTTTATATTTTAATCCATTTATGTTTACTTTTTTTTCAAAAGCCTTCCAAACATTATATGAGGTAGAAAGGAAGAAACAGTAGTTATGGATGCAAAGGGCAGAAGGCAGCAGCTGACTGGGTCTCAAAAAGTCTCTGTTTCATTTGTTAGGAGTTTTTCCGGAAGTATAAAGCCAATTTTTTCCAAGTTTATGTTAGGGGGTAATTGTGTGCATGTTGTTCATGTAGAAGATGCCACTCTTCTTCCTTCTCTCCATCACCTTTAAAACTGACTCCGCCTCATGTTGCTCCTGCATAGTGTTTAAGGCTCCTCTATGAGTTGCAGATAAGAGAATTTGTTTTGAGAAATGGAAGGGAGGTGATTCACCTTTTGGTTTGTAAATATATGAAAGTGTCTTCAAGGTCTTATCTGCTTTCTGTCAGCATTTATATTAAATGATAAATTAATGAAGAAATGTGTAGTCTCTTTTTGTTGGAAGAGGGGTAAATGTGCCTATATTACTTTATTCTGGTATTGGGAAATCTTCCATATCTACTTATCATGCAGCTTGTCCCTAATATTTTAAAGAGCAGGAGTAGCACTACAAATCTGAATCCTTTCATGTAAAATGGCCAACAGGATCCACAGACGTGTCACCTGTCCTACATTTTCAGCGATCGGGGAAAGATTGTAGCCTGTTGTGTGGAGGCGTGTCACCCCGTAGCGTACTGGAGTGTCAGAATTCTTGGAATTTCCCAGCATGTGTTGGGGTAGACAACTAGCACAAAATAAACTACGTTGTGCACAGTGATGCTTGTTGAGAGACTTGGAGAACATCAAGAGAAGATAAAAGAACATCCTGGGGTTTTGAGAGGCTGTGGAGACCATGCAAGTACAGCGAAGATCACAGGATTGACAGATGGGGAAACTGAGACTGGAAAAGGTTAGATAATTTGCCAAAGGTTGCACAGTTGATAAATTGTGGGATTGGGATATGACCTCCAGGCCTCTGAAAGAGGTCCACAAGTGTCTGATTGAAAGAAATATGTAATAAGAGCTTGCTGTGTGCTCGGTACTGTAAAGAAGGGGGAAGTTCCTACCTTAAAGGAACGTAACCTTCTAAGGGGTACAACAGGTCGTAGTCTGTCGTCCCATCCCCACCCCCCCACCCAAAAAAAGCAAAAGCAAAACCTATAGGTACAAGGTACTTTTGAGAATAAACATTAGCGCTTCGCTAGGGATAGCAGTCAGAGAATGACTTCAGACAAGAATCAGCTCAAGCCCTGAAAGACTTTGAGAGGTGGGATTGATTTTGGGCAAGGAGGGGAGATACATGGGGCTTGTGTGAATGGAGATAAGTGCAGGAGACCTACAGTTTGGCTCGAATGAAGGTGAGTGTGTTCAGTAAGGATGAGAAGGGAAGTTAGAACCTGAGTGTGGAGGTCTTTAAAGCTTAGACTGAGGAATTTTATCCTAGAGGCAATGGGGAGCATATGAAGATTATAGAGCAAAGCAAGTACATAGTTCTACACCTATAGTTGTGGAAAGATTATTTTTGCAACTGTGGAGGAGGGACTGAGTAGTGGGGAGACTAGAAGCTGTAAGACCAATTAAGAGGCAGGTGAGAAGTGACAAGGGCCTGACCTTGGGTGGTGATTGAGTGGGACTCAAAAGGGGAAGAAAAAGGTAAGAGACCAATATTTCATATCTGGATAACAGGAAGCATTGTATGACAGAGACAGGAAAAGAAAGGTGGGACGTGAAAATAGAAGCTCTTCCTGAACATGACTTCAAGATGTTGATGAAACACACAGGTTGAGATAAAGACAAGTTCAGAAGAGAGGTTGGGACTAACTATGGATTTGGCATATGTGGCATAGAGGTGGTAATAGAACTCTTAGGAACAGAGGAGGTCACGAAGAAGGAAAAAATATGGAGGCTAAGCATATTGTTTGAGAAGTTGAGAGTTGTAAGTCCAACCCTGACACAAAAGGAAATCTTCACCTTGACTTGGTTATTCAGACCACTTAGAGACAGCCCCTTTTTGTTAAGTGTTTCTAACACCAAGCCTAAAGTTGCCTTTCCGACCATTATTCCTGGTTCTGAGTCTAAATAGAACAAGTCCAGACTTAGTCCTCTTTGTAACAGGCCTTTTTTTTTTTGGAGGGGGGGAGTTCTTTCTTTCTTTCTCGTGCTTTTCTCCTTTAGCTCCAATTCCTTACAACATAACTAATGTGGAAATAAGTTTAATATGATTGTACGTGTATGGCCTGCCTTGATCCACTTTTCTTTCCCAGTGTAACCTAAGAATCTTGCCAACATCAACTTTATGAGCTGTGACATTCCAACAATATTTGTTTTTTTTTTCAAAAAGGTGACATGCTTTTCATCCTCTTACGTAGCCTTTCATTTTTTGTGTATTCTTTTTAAAATCTCAATTGACTTGTAAATGCACGTCAGTCTTCAGATAAATCCCATGTTTCTCTCTTGTTGGAATGGTTTCCCTTTTTATTTTCATTCTTGAGCATTTCAAGATGCTGACTTTTTTTTTAATAAAATTTTTTTTTTTTAGTTTTCAACATTCACCTTTATTTATAAAATTTTGAGTTTTAAATTTTCTTCCCCTCTCTCCTCCCCAAGACTGTGCAATTTGATATAGGCCATTGTACACAGTAAAAGAAAGAAAGAAGTACCCCCCTCCAAAAAAAGAAAAATAGTATGCTTTGATCTGCATTCAGACTCCATAGTTCTTTCTCTGAATGTAGATAGCATTTTCCATCATGAGTCTTTTGGAATTGTCTTAGCTCATTGCATTGCTGAGAAGAGCTGATGATATCAAAGTTGGTCATGGCACAATGTTGCTATTACTGTGTACAATGTTTTCCTGGTTCTGTTCCCTTCCCTCAGCATCAGTTCATGCAAGTCTTTTCAGGTTTTTGTGAAATCTGCCTGCTTTTCATTTCTCATGGAACAATAGTATTCCATTACATTCATATACCACAACTTGTTCAGCCATTCTCCAATTGATAGGCATCCTCTCAATTTCCAATTCTTGGCCACCACAAAAAAAGCTGCTATAAATATTTTTGTACATGTAGGTCCTTTCCCCACTTTTGTGATTATCTCTTTGGGATACAGACCTAGAAGTGGTATTGATAACTGACTTTTCTTGTGACATGTTCGTGGGAGCCTACCTTTTTTCCTCTCATCCCTTTGAAGTGTTTCCCAAAATTTGGGGTGCATGTCAAAGTATTCTTGATTTTCCATTTTCTGTCTATCACAAATCCTAGAAAGAGGGGTGGTGAGAGTTCCAGTGAAGATGGCTGCCCGAGATCAACCACTTAGCTCCCATATACCTATTCCAACAAAACCTCTAAATTTTCACCAGCCTGAAAAATGATAAAAACTCCACGAGAAATTATATAGTATGTGACTTCCACACCACAACTTCACAGTCATCCAGAAGCCCATGGGTAATAGAAAAGAAGGTCTTCCAGGAAGATCCCTGCAGGTGTAGGCAAACAAGCCTCAAGTATCCCCACCAGCAAGGTAGCTAGAGATACATCTAGATTGCAAGGCTCAATGGAGATCAGTGTGGTACAATAGTCCTTAAGACCAGGGGATCCAAAGTACCTAAAACTCTGAATTAGATAGGGCATAGAGGACCCTGAAGGTCAAAGATCCTTGGCCTGTCTGTAGTGGAAGTCAGTCTTTGGACCCAGGTGACCCACAGTGATATCAAGCAAGGCCAATCATCCACCCCATCCAAAAGTACCTGTTGCTGGTGAAGCTGATCGTTGATGCCTTAATTCAGGAAATAAAGATGAAAAGATGAATAACGAAGCACTAGCATCAAAAATTCTTTAGGTACAGAGTCTATACTTCTAACGACATGACAACTCCAAGCAGAGACTCAAAAGGGAAATTTCTTCTCTACAAGGATGACATTGGATTCCTTGAAGAAATGAAGCATGGTTTAAAAAAAAGAAAAAAGCATTGGAAGGAAAATAACATCGCTTAGAAGAGTATGTGGTAAACTTTACCCAAGTAACAGACTTCTGAAAACTAGAATAAACCAAACTGAAATCAGTGCTTGCATTAGACAGCAAAAAATTGGGAAACAGGTCAAGGAGAGAGAATTTAGGAATTGAACTGAGAACCACGATAAACAAAAAACTGAACAATGTATTTCGAGAAATAAATGAAAATTTCCCACGTTACAATCAGTGCAATGTGAATATAGAAAAAGTCCATTATTGTTAAGGGGGGTGGGAAGGTCCCAGGGATGTCATAGCCAAAATAGCTCCTTAGTCAAAGGAAAAACATTGTTGAGCTTCTATAGAAAAGGAACCATAATCTAGGTCATGTAAGACCTAGCAACTTGATGGTAATACAGTGGAAGGAATGCCATAGTTGGAACGCTGAATCCAGCCTCTCAGATTCTTACTAGTTGTGTGGTCCTGGGCAAGTCGTTTAACCTCTGTCTGCCTTAGTTTTTTCAACTGTGAAGTAAGGATAATAATAGCACCCACCTCCTAGGATTGTAGTAAGGATTAAAGATCGTATTAGTGAAGTGCATCAGCGAAAAAAATAGAGGTTTACAACCAAGAAAAAGGCACCTTGCCATATTTGAGTATAATTGTAGGTAATTATATGAGGGAGATGGGAGTCTAGAGAAAAGTAAATTTAAGCATATGGAGGTGTTCTATCTAACGTGATGCTAACGTTTTAGTGGGGGGGGGGGTGAAGAAGCAAGTTCCCTTTCTGAACCTTGATGTCTTCAAAGAAAATTGGGATTGAAGGTTAAATAAGAAAAGAGGAAGCCCTGGGGATAGATTGGTTGTGCTCTGAGGGCTTGAAGAAGGGAAGGAAAGTCAAAGGAGGAATACAGTGGTGTAGAAAAAAGGATTCGGGCAACTAGGGTGGCGCAGTGGGTAGAGCACCAGCCCTGGAGTCAGGAGGACCTGGGTTCAAATCTGGCCTCAGACACAATACACTTACTAGCTGTGTGACCCTGGGCAAGTCACTTAACCCCATTGCCTACCAAAAAAGAAAAAAGGATCCACAAACGTGGAAGGAAGGGATGGGGTGAGCGGTCAGTTAAAATTTATTCTGATCCAAAATAAACAAAAGGAAACTTACATACATACACTTTCATACCAAATTAACAAGCAGGGATGGGTTAAGAAGGAGGAATTTTAGCAGGGAGGGAAGAGCCACAAGCAAAACAAACCTGATCCTGAGAGGGGGGCGGGGAGGAGGAACAGCCAAAGAACTAGAATCTTTAAGGATGTCCACCGATTGGAGGATATTTGGACAAAAAACGGTACACGAATATAAGAGAATATCGCTCCGTGAGAAGTAATGAGACGTTTAAAAAGCACTCTGGGTAGTACGATCTGATGCACAGTGAAGGAAACAGAATTAAAAAAATTCTGACAAAGACAGTGCCTTATCAGATCAATGACCGATGGT